CAGGGTTATTCCCATTTTTTCTAAGGTTATTCCCATTTTTCTGAGAGTTATTCCCATTTTTCCAAGGGTTATTCCCATTTTTCTGAGAGTTATTCCCATTTTTCCAAGGGTTATTCCCATTTTTCTGAGAATTACTCTCATTTTTCCAGGGTTATTTCCATTTCTCTGAGAGTTATTCCCTTTTCCCCAGGGGTTATTCCCATTTTTCTAAAGTTATTCCCATTTTTCTGAGAGTTATTCCCATTTTTCCAAGGGTTATTCCCATTTTTCTGGGGGTTATTTACCTGGAATATTCTATTTCATTTTATCTATTTTATCTTACCTATTTGATTTATTGATTTACTTGCTTAATATTTATTTACTTATTTGTTAATTAATTTCTATTTATTTTTTTATTTAATTTATTTAAACTTATTTATTTATCTGACGATTTTCATTAATTTATTTTATTTAATTTAAATGTATTTTTATTTTATTTATTTATTTATTTTATTTTATTTATTTTATTTATTTATTTTATTTTATTTTATTTTATTTCATTCCATTTTATTCAATTAATTTAATTTTATTTTGACTTATTTATTTATTTCCTTTAATTTTATTTATTTTATTTATTTTATTTATTTTATTTTTATTTTATTTTATTTTATTTTATTTTATTTTATTTTATTTTATTTTATTTTATTTTATTTTATTTTATTTTATTTTATTTTATTTTATTTTATTTCATTTCATTTCATTTCATTTCATTTCATTTCATTATTATTTTTGTTGGATTTTTAAAATTTTTTTTAAATTTTATTTTAATTTTTTGGGGTTTTTTCCCCCTTTCCCGGCCCGGCGCCGAAGGGGTTACGGGAGGAGGCGGCGCCGCCGCGATCCCGGGAAAATCCCTTCCCGATTTTCCAGCCTCCATCCCGAGCTTTCCCAGCGGGAGGAGGATGCGGGAAGCCGGGATAACGGCGGGGGCGCATCCCGCTATTCCCGGCTTATTCCCGCTTTATCTTTTTGGGTTTTTTCCCGGATTTTTCCCGGATTTTTTCCCGGGTTTTGCGGATCCCGGCGGGAAGGAGGAGCAGGGGAGGCATCGCGACATCTCTGGGGCTGAGCTGGGAGAGCTGGGAAAGCGCCTGGAAAAGCAGCCGGGAATCCGCCGGGAATCCGCCGGGAAAGGACCGGGAATTGACCGGGAATAATCCGGGAATTGACCGGGAATTGACCGGGGAAAACCCGGGAATCGGCGGGGAAGGAACCGGGAATTGGCCGGGAAGGAATTCCGGGAATCAGCCGGGAAAAAAAAAAAAAACGGGAAGGATTTTCAGGAATCAGCCGTGACTCGGCCGGGAATTGTGCGGGAAGGAATTTCGGGAATCAGCCGGGAAGGAATTTCGGGAATCGGCCGGGAATCGGCGGGGAAGGAACCGGGAAAGGATTTTGGGAATCGGCCGGGACAGAGCCGGGATTTGACCAGGAAAGAGCCGGGATTTGACCAGGAAAGAGCCGGGATTTGACCGGGAATTGTCCGGGAAGGAATTTCGGGAATCAGCCGGGAAATCGGCCGGGAAAGAGCCGGGATTTGACCGGGAAGGAATTTCGGGAAAGGGCCGGGATTTGACAGGGAATCGGCCGGGATTTGACCGGGAAGGAGCCGGGATTCAGCCGGGAATTTGACGGGGATTGGACCGGGAATTGTCCGGGAAGGAATTTCGGCATCCAGCCGCGCATCCCGGCGTTCCCAATCCCCGCTGCCGGAATTTTCCCGGGAATCGCGGCGGCCGCAGAGCCGGGCGGGCGATGCCGCCGGCGCCGCCGCTGCGCTGAGCATCCCTCTTTTCCCCCGCGGAAAACCGGGAATTCCGCGCCGGGATGCCGCGGAACCGCGCCTTCTCCGAGCCGGAATTCTCGGCCGAGTACTCCGCCGACTATTCCCTGAGCTTCCCGTCCGATCCCGACGGGAATCTCCGCCGCTCCCGGGACTCGCCGGCCGCGCCGGGCTGGGGGCCGTGCCCGTGCCTGCCGCATTCCCGGCGCTTCTCCTTCTCGCCGGAATCCCTGGAAAACCTCTACCAGGCTTATTTCCGCCGGCAGCGCCACGAGACCCTGCTGGTGCTGGTGGTCTTCTCCGCCCTCTTCGACTGCTACATCCTGGGAATGTGCGCGGCGTTCTCCCGCACGGAAAAGCTCTTCCCGGCGCTGGCGGCGCTGGCCGGGCTGCTGGCGCACGGCGGCATCTTCCTGCTCCTCAGGTCCCGGCTGCTCCCGGAGGATTTTTCCCAGAGGTTCCTGCCCGGCGGGCTGTGGGCGCTGGCGGTGGCGCAGCTCTGGGGCTTGCTGGGCTGGGAGCTGCGGAGGAGCTTTCCCGAGGCGGCGGACGCGGCGGGCTGGCAGGCGATCCTCGCCTTCTCCTGCTTCCTGACGCTGCCGCTGCGCCTGGCGCGGATCCTGCTGCTGGCGGCCGCCTCCTGCGGCGGGCACGCGCTGCTCCTGGGAATCCTGCAGTTCCAGAGGGGCCCGGAGAGCGCCGAGCCCGGCCAGCTGGCCAGGCAGGTGCGGGAACGGGGCGGGAATGCGCTGGGAATGGGCTGGGAGTTCCATGGATGGAGGGGTGCTGGCCAGGCAGGTGCGGGAACGGGGCGGGAATGCGCTGGGAATGGGCTGGGAGTTCCATGGATTGAGTGGTTCTGGCCAGGCAGGTGCGGGAATGGAGCGGGAATGAGTAGGGAATGGGGTGGGAATGATGGGAATGGAAAGGGAACGGACAGGGAATGGGCTGGGAAGGAGATGGGACTGGATTGGGAATGGTGGGAATGAGGTGGGAATGGTGGGAAGGAGGTGGGAATGGGGAAGGAATGGGCTGGGAACGGTGGGAATTCCATGGATCGATGGGTGCTGGCCAGGCAGGTGCAGGAATGGAGCAGAAATGAGTAGGGAATGGGCTGGGAATGGAAAGGGAATGGGCAGGGAACGGGCTGGTAAAGGAATGGGACTGGATTGGGAATGGAGTGGGAATGGTGGGAAAGGGCAGGGAATGGGATGGGAATGAGGCTGGAATGCTGGGAATGGTGTGGGAATGGCGCGGATCCTGCTGCTGGCGGCCGCCTCCTGCGGCGGGCACGCGCTGCTCCTGGGAATCCTGCAGTTCCAGAGGGGCCCGGAGAGCGCCGAGCCCGGCCAGCTGGCCAGGCAGGTGCGGGAACGGGGCGGGAATGCGCTGGGAATGGGCTGGGAGTTCCATGGATCGAGAGGTGCTGGCCAGGCAGGTGCGGGAACGGGGCGGGAATGCGCTGGGAATGGGCTGGGAGTTCCATGGATGGAGGGGTGCTGGCCAGGCAGGTGCGGGAACGGGCTGGGATTGGAGTGGGAATGAAAAGGGAATGGGGCAGGAATGGGTTGGAAATGGTGGGAATTCAATGGATGGAGGGGTGCTGGTCAGGCAAATGTGGAATGGAAAGGTAATGGGGTGGGAATGGAGCAGGAATGAAAAGGGAACGGGGCAGGGAATGGTGGGAATGGGTGGAATTGGTGGGAATTCCATGGATCGAAGGGTGCTGGCCAGGCAGGTGCGGGAATGGAGCCGGAATGAAAAGGGAATGGTGGGAATGGAAAGGGAATGGACAGGGAATGGGCTGGGAATGGGCTGGGAAAGGAGTGGGACTGGATTGGGAATGGTGGGAATGGGGTGGGAATGGGCAGGGAATGGGCTGGGAATGATGGGAATGGGCAGGGAATGGGGTGGGAAAAGACAGGGAATGGGGACTGGGAATGGGGTGGGAATGGAAAGAGAATGGACAGGGAATGGGCTGGGAATGGTGGGAATGGAATGGGAATGGTGAGAATTCCATGGATGGAGGGGTGCTGGCCAGGCAGGTGCAGGAACGGGGCGGGATTGGAGTGGGAATGGGCTGGGAGTTCCATGGATGGAGGAGAGATGGCCAGGCAGGTGTGGGAATGGAGCCGGAATGGATCAGGAATGAAAAGGGAATGGGGCTGGGAATGGTGTGGGAATGGGCTGGGAAGGGAAAGGGAATGGGATGGGAATGGGGTGGGAGTTCCATGGATGGAGGAGAGATGGCCAGGCAGGTGTGGGAATGGAGCAGGGAATTGTGGAAAAAGGATTGGGAATGGACAGGAAATGATATTGGAATGATAAGAATGGAAAGAGAATTGGCTGGGAAAGGAATAGGAGTGGATTTGGAATGGTGGGAATGGGTGGGGAAGGGGGCAGGAATGGGCTGGGAATGGTGGGAATGGAAAGAGAATGGGCTGGGAAAGGAAAGGGAATGGTGGGAATGGAAAGGGAATGGACAGGGAATGGGCTGGGAAAGGGATGGGACTGGATTGGGAATGGGGTGGGAATGATGGGAATGGAAAGAGAATGGTCTGAGAAAGGGATGGGAATGGGGTGGGAATGGGGTGGGAATTGCATGGATGGAGTGGTGCTGGCCAGGCAGGTGCGGGAATGGAGTGGGAATGAAAAGGGAATGGGGCAGGGAATGGTGGGAATGGAAAGGGAATGGGCAGGGAACGGGCTGGGAATGGGCTGGGAAAGGAGTGGGACTGGATTGGGAATGGTGGGAATGGGGTGGGAATGGGGCAGGAATGGGCTGGGAATGGGCTGGGAATGGTGGGAATGGAATGGGAATGGTGAGAATTCCATGGATCAAGGGGTTCTGGCCAGGCAGGTGCGGGAATGGAGTGGGAATGGGGTGGGAATGGTGGGAATGGTCAGGGACTGGACAGGGAACGGTGGGAATTCCATGGATTGTGAGGAGATGGCCGGGCAAGCACGGGAATGGAAAAGGAATGGGATTGCAGTTTTCCCAGGATTTGGGATCTGGGATTGGAGCTTTTCCCACAGAATATTTGGGATTCAGGATCGGTGCTTTTCCCGCAGAATTTGGGATTTGGGATCTCCATGTTGGAGTTTTTCCCCGCAGGATTTAGGACCTGGGATTGGAACTTTTCCCGCAGAATTTGGGGTTTGGGATCCAGGATCTCCTCCATGTTGGAGCTTTTCCTGCAGAATTTGGGATCTGGGATCGGAACTTTTCCCGCAGGATCTGGGATTTGGGATGGGAGCTTTTCCCACAGAATTTGTGATCTGGGATCTGAACATTTCCCGCAGCATTTGGGGCTTGGGATGGGAGCTTATCCCACAGGATTTGGGATCCGGGATCGGAGTTTTCCCCACAGAAATTTGGTGAGCCACGATCTCCATGCCGGAGCTTTTCCACCGAGTTTGGAATTTGGGATCTGGAATCTCCTCCTTGACGGAGCTTTTCCCGCAGAATCTGGGATCCGGGAAGTGTTCTGGATCTGGGATCACATCAGGAGAGTTTTTTTGGGATGAGACTCACGGAAGGGCAGTGGGATGCTCGTGGAAAAGCAGCTGGAATGGGATGGGCGAGAGGGTTCCCGGGATTTTCAGGATTCCCAGGATTTTCCTCATTCCTGGGATTTCCAGCATTCCCAGTGTTCCCGGCTTTCCGTGGCCATCCATGGGAACGGGATCCAGCCAATGGGATCAGGATCCAGCCAATGGGGACAGGATCCAATCCGTGGGATTCTGGGTGAATCCTGTGGGATCGGGATCCATCCCATGGAATCAAGATCCAGCCAATGGGATCAGGATCCAATCCATGGGGACAGGATACAGTCCTGTGGGGTCAGGATCAAATCCTTGGGATCAGGATCAAATCCATGGGATCAGGATCCAGCCAATGGGATCAGGATCCAATCCATGGGATCGGGATTCAATCCATGGGATCGGGATCCAATCCATGGGATCACCATGGGTCTGGATCAATCCTGGGGGATCAGGATCCAATCCATGGGGACAGGATCTATTCCATGGGTCTGGATCAATCCTGTGGGATCAGGATCCATCCCATGGAATCAGGATCCATCCCACAAATGTTCTGTGATCCCAAATGCCAGCCCTTTTATCCCAATGATCCTATTGTCCCAAATTTCCAGTGGTTCATCCCAAATATCTCATGATCCCAAATTCCTGCTGTTTCCTCCTGAAGATCCCACGATCCCAAATTCCCAGTCTTTCTTCCCAAAGATCCTGTGACCCCAAACTCCTGCTGTTTGTTCCCAAATATCCTGTGATCCCAAATTCCCAGTTTTTCATCCCAATGATCCTGTGATCCCAAATTCCAGCTCTTTCTTTCCGAATATCCCACAATTCCAAATTCCAGCTCTTTCTTCCCAAAGATCCTGTGATCCCAAATTCCCGCTGTTTGGTCCTGAATATCCTGCAATCCCAAATTCCTGTTGTTTCTTCCCAAAAAGCCTGTGATCCCAAATGCCAGCTCTTTTATCCCAGTGATCCCGTGATCCCAAATTCCTCCTCTTCCTTCCCAAAGGTCCAGTGATCCCAAATTCCCAATTTCATTTTGAAGATCCTACTATCCCAAATTCCCACTGGTTCATCCCAAATATCCCATGATCCCAAATTCCTGCTCTTTCATCCAGAATGTTCCATGATCCCGAATTCCTCCTCTTTGATCCCGAATGTCCTGTGATCCCAAATTCCCACCATTCAATCCCGAAGATCTCACGATCCCAAATCCCCGCCATTTGATCCCGAAGATCCCGCGATCGAAACGTTTTCCTCTTTCATCCCGAATGTTCCGCAATCCCGAGTTCCTGCTGCTTTTCTGAAATATCCCTGATCCCAAACCCCCACCGCTCCATCCCGAATACCCTGTGATCCCAAATTCCCAAATATCCCCCAATCCCAAATTCCCGAATATCCCCCAATCCCAAATTCCTGCCCTTTCTCCCCAAAGATCCTGCGATAACAAATTCCCATTGATTCTTCCCAAAGATCCCACGATCCCAAATTCCTCCTCTTTCATCCCAGAGATCGCATGATCCCAAATTTCCGCTGTTTCATCCCAAAGCACCCGTGATCCCAAATTCCCTCCATTCCATCCCAAAGATCCGTGATCCCAAATCCCTGCCGCTCCATCCCAAAGATCCCCTGGGAATTCCCACTGGGAACCCAAATTCCCACTGTTTGTTCCCAAAACTCTGTTGATCCCAAATCCCTGTGCTTCCATCCCAAACATCCCCTGATCCCAAATTCCTGCCTTTTCTTCCCAAAGATCCTGGGATAACAAATTCCCAGTGATTCTTCCAAAGATCCCACGGTCCCAAATCCCTGCTGTTTCTTCCCAAATATCCCACGATCCCAAACTCCTCCTCTTTCATCCCAAATATCCCATCATCCCAAATTTCCGCTGTTTCATCCCGAAGGACCTGCGATCCCAAATTCCCACCGTTCCATCCCAACTATCCCGTGATCCCAAATCCCCGCCGTTCCATCCCGAAGATCCCTGATCCCAAGTTCCCACTGTTTGATCCTGAGATCCCAAATTCCCTCCATTCCATCCCAAAGACCCCGCGATCCCAAATCCCCACTGTTTCACCCCAAAAATCCCTGATCCCAAATCCCCGCCGTTTCACCCCAAAAATCCCTGATCCCAAACCCCCACCTTTCCATCCCGAGCATCCCAAATTCCCGGATATCCCCTGATCCCAAATTCCCGAGTATCCCGTGGCTGATCCCAAATCCCCGCCGTTCCATCCGGAGTATCCCAAATTCCCGAGTATCCCGTGGCTGATCCCAAATCCCGCCCCCAGCTGCTGTCCAGCGTGGCGCTGTTCACCTGCGCGGTGGGCGCCATGTTGTATTTGATGGCCGACCGGAAGCACCGGAAGGCGTTCCTCCACAATTCCCGCCGTTCCATCCCGAGCATCCCAAATTCCCGAGTATCCCCTGATCCCAAATTCCTGAGTATCCCATGATTGATCTCAAATCCGGGCCCATTCCCGCCCCCAGCTGCTGTCCAACGTGGCGCTGTTCACCTGCGCAGTGGCGGTGGGCGCCATGTTGTACATGATGGCCGACCTGAAGGTGTTCCTCCCAAATTCCCGCCGTTCCATCTCGAATATCCCAAATTCCCGAGTATCCCGAATTCCCGAGTATCCCCTGATCCCAAATTCCCGAGTATCCCGTGGCTGATCCCGGCTCCCGCCCCCAGCTGCTGTCCAACGTGGCGCTGTACGGCTGCGCGGTGGCGGTGGGCGCCATGTCGTACGTGATGGCCGACCGGAAGCACCGGAAGGCGTTCCTGGAGGCGCGGCAATCCCTGGAGGTCAAACTCAACCTGGAGGAGCAGAGCCAGCAGCAGGTGGGGACGCCGGGAACGCGGGAACGCCGGGAATGCGGGAACGCCGGGAACGCGGGAACGCCGGGAACGCGGGAATGGGAATGGCAGGAGTGGGGGTGGGAATGGGATTGGGGATGGGATTGGAATGGGAGTGGGATTGGGATGGGGATGGGGATAGGAATGGGGATGGGAATGGGATTGGGAATGGGATTGGGGATGGGAGTGGGATTGGCATTGGGATTGGGATTGGGAGTGGGATTGGGATTGGGGATGGGGATGGGAATGGGGGCAGGTGGGGACGCCGGGAACGCGGGAACGCCGGGAACGCGGGAATGGGAATGGCAGGAGTGGGGGTGGGAATGGGATTGGGGATGGGATTGGAATGGGAGTGGGATTGGGATGGGGATGGGGATAGGAATGGGGATGGGAATGGGATTGGGAATGGGATTGGGGATGGGATTGGGGATGGGATTGGAGATGGGATTGGGAATGGGATTAGGAATGGGATTGGAATTAGGAATGGGATGGGAATGGGAGTGGGATTGGGATTGGGATGGAGATAGGAATGGGATTGGGAATGGGCATGGAATTAGGAATGGGATTGTGAACAAGATCAGGAACGGGAACGGGATTGGGAATGGGGCCAGGAATGGGAATGGGGTGAGGATAGCATTGGGAATAAGAATGGGAATGGGAATGGGAATGGGAACGGGATTGCGAACAAGATCAGGAACGGGAACGGGATTGGGAATGGGGCTGGCAATGGGGCGGGGATGAACTCAGGAATGGGGTCAGGAATGGGATTGGGGTTGGGATTGGGATTGGGATTGGGGTGGGGATTGGAATGGGAATGGGATTGGATTGGGGATGGAAATGGAATAGGAATGGGCATGGAATTGGGAATGGGATTGCGAACAAGATCAGGAACGGGAACGGGATTGGGAATGGGGCCAGGAATGGGAATGGGGCCAGGAATGGGAATGGGGTGAGGATGGGATTGGGAATAGGAATGGGATTGTGAATGGGGATGGGATTGGGGCCGGGAATGGGGCTGGGAATAGGATCAGGAATGGGATTGTGAATAGGATAGGAATGGGCTGTTCCTCGGGAATCTCCTGGGAATGAGGACAGGGACACGGAGCCGTTGCTCTGGCAATGGATCTGCCTCACGCCGGCGTTCCCAGCAGAATTCCCGGGTTCCCGAGGGAAAATCCACCTCGTTAGCAGAGTTCCGTGTGTTTCACGGAAATTCCCACACGGAGATGGGCGGATCCTTCCCTGCTCCAGCTGGAGAACCAGCCCTGATCCAGGGATATTGATCCCTGATCCATTCCCCATCCAGGAATATCGATTCCTGATCAATTCCTGATCCACCCTGGATCCATGCATTCCTGGATTTAGGATTTGGGATGTGGAATGTGGGATGTGGAATGTGGGATGTGGGATTTGAGATGTGGGATTTGGGATGTGGGATTTGAGATGTGGGATGATTGGATTTGAGATTCGGGATGTAAGATGTGGGATGTTGGGTTTGGAATTGGATTTGGGATTTGGGATGTGGGATTTGGGGTTTGGGATGTGGGCTGGTTGGATTTGAGATTTGGGATTTAGGATGTGGGATGTTGGATTTGGGATTGGGTTTGGGATTTGGGATGTGGGATGTTGGATTTGGGATGTGGGACAATTGGATTTGAGATTTGGGATTTGGGATGTGGGACGATTGGATTTGAGATTTGGGATGTGGGATGTTGGATGTTGGATCTGAGATGTGGGTTTAGAATGTGGGATTTGGGATGTGGGATGTGGGCTGTTCCTCGGGAATCTCCTGGGAATGAGGACAGGGACACGGAGCCGTTGCTCTGGCAATGGATCTGCCTCACGCCGGCGTTCCCAGCAGAATTCCCGGGTTCCCGAGGGGAAATCCACCTCGTTAGCAGAGTTCCGTGTGTTTCACGGAAATTCCCACACGGAGATGGGCGGATCCTTCCCTGCTCCAGCTGGAGAACCAGCCCTGATCCAGGGATATTGATCCCTGATCCATTCCCGATCCAGGAATATCGATTCCTGATCAATTCCTGATCCACCCTGGATCCATGCATTCCTGGATTTAGGATTTGGGATGTGGAATGTGGGATGTGGGATTTGAGATGTGGGATTTGAGATGTGGGATGATTGGATTTGAGATTCGGGATGTAAGATGTGGGATGTTGGGTTTGGGATGTGGGATTTGGGATGTGGGACTATTGGATTTGAGATTTGGGATTTGGGATGTGGGATGTTGGATGTTGGATCTGAGATGTGGGTTTAGAATGTGGGATTTGGGATGTGGGATGACTGGATTTGAGATTTGGGATGGGATGTAGGATGTGGGATGTTGGATTTAGGATCGGATTTGGGATTTGGGATGTGGGCTGGTTGGATTTGACATTTGGGATTTGGGATGTGGGATGTTGGATTTGGGATTGGGTTTGGGATTTGGGATGTGGGATGTTGGATTTGGGATGTGGGATTCAGTGCTTTTCCATGAATGACTCCCGCCAGGAACGGTTTAATCCCATTTTGCTCCGTGGGGAAGCTCCCAGGGATCTTTGGGAATCTCAGGGAACTCCAGCCCAGCCAGGAATTCCTTCCCAAATCCCACCCCAAATCCCTCCCCTTTCCCAGGGAATTCCCTCCATTCCCAGCTCTCCCAGCCTGGGATTGGATCCATCCCCATCCCAACTCCTCCTTGAGAAGGAATTTTGGAAATTCCCTGGGAATTCGGGACTCCAGGAAGGGTCTCCCTTCCCTTCTCCATCCCCAAAAATTCCATAAAAATCCCTTGGGATGGATCCTGAGCATCCTGGATCTCGGAATCCTGGAATGGTTTGGGATGGGATCCACGGACCTTCAATCCCATCCCACATTCCAACCCCAATCCCAAACTGCTCCAACCTTTCCCGGGACGCTCCCAGGGGCGAACCAACCCCTCCCCTCCGTGCCACACCCGACTTTTCTTGTGATTCCAAATGTTTTCCCCCAGATTTACTGATTTTCTGCCAGAATTCCCTTCTCTTTTCCATTCCCAAATTTCATAAAGCCCCCTCGGGATGGATCCTGAGTGTCCTTGATCCCAGAATCCCGGAATGGTTTGGGATGGGATCCACGGACCTTCAATCCCATCCCACATTCCAACCCCAATCCCAAACTGCTCCAACCTTTCCCGGCACGCTCCCAGGGGCGAACCAACCCCTCCCCTCGGTGCCACACCCGACTTTTCCTGGAATTCCAAATGTTTTCCCCCAGAATTACCAATTTTCCCCCAAATTCCCTTCTCTTTTCCATCCCCAAATTCCATCAAAATCCCTCGGGATGGATCCTGAGCGTCCTGGATCTTGGAATCCCAGAATGGTTGGGATGGGATCCATGGACCTTCAATCCCATCCCACATTCCAACCCCAGTCCCAAACTGCTCCAACCTTTCCTGGGACGCTCCCAGGGGCGAACCAACCCCTCCCCTCGGTGCCACACCCGACTTTTCCCGGAATTCCTGATTTTTTCCATCCCCAAATTCCATAAAGCCCCCTCGGGATGGATCCTGAGCGTCCTTGATCCCAGAATCCCAGAATGGTTTGGGGCGGGATCCACGGACCTTCAATCCCACCCCACATTCCAACCCCTCCCCTCGGTGCCACACTGGACGTTTTTCCCCCGGAATTCCCGACGTGTTTTTCCCGGGAATTCTGTCCCTCAGGAGCGGCTGATGCTGTCCATCCTGCCCAAGCACGTGGCCGACGAGATGCTGAAGGACATGAAGAAGGACCCGAGCCAGAAGGAGCTGCAGCAGTTCAACACCATGTACATGTACCGCCACGAGAACGTCAGGTCAGCGCCCCGGAATCCCGGGAAAACATTCCCGGAGCGCTCCCCACATCCCCAAAAGTCCCCCCGCTTTACGTGCGGACAGTGCTCCCGGAAAACCGGCGGGAAAATCCCCGAAATTCCCGTTCTGTGCGGGAAAACGGTCGAGGGGAATAATGGGAATTCCCCAAAATCCCCCTGTTCCGTGCCTGGGAAACATTCCTGGAAATCCCCATGGGAATTCCACAAAATTCCCCCTTTCTGTGCTGAAAATGTTCCCAGAAAACCGGCGGGAATTCCCAAAATTTCCCCCATTCCACGTGGAAAACGTTCCCGGAAAACCAGCGGGAATTCCCCAAATTCCCCAATTCGGCACAGAAAACATTCCAGGGGAACTGGTAGGAATTCCCAGAATTCCCGCTGTTCCGTGCAGAAAACTCCCTGGAAAACTTGCGGGGATTCCCAAAATTTGCATAGAAAATGTTCCTGGAAAAGCAGCAGGAATTCCCAAAATTCCAGCATTTGGGATTTGGGATGTGGGATGTTGGATGTTGGATCTGAGATGTGGGTTTAGAATGTGGGATTTGGGATGTGGGATTTGGGGTTTGGGATGTGGGCTGGTTGGATTTGAGATTTGGGATTTAGGATGTGGGATGTTGGATTTGGGATTGGGTTTGGGATTTGGGATGTGGGATGTTGGATTTGGGATTGGGTTTGGGATTTGGGATGTGGGATGTTGGATTTGGGATTGGGTTTGGGATTTGGGATGTGGGATGTTGGATTTGGGATGTGGGATTCAGTGCTTTTCCATGAATGACTCCCGCCAGGAACGGTTTAATCCCATTTCGCTCCGTGGGGAAGCTCCCAGGGATCTTTGGGAATCTCAGGGAACTCCAGCCCAGCCAGGAATTCCTTCCCAAATCCCACCCCAAATCCCTCCCCTTTCCCAGGGAATTCCCTCCATTCCCAGCTCTCCCAGCCTGGGATTGGATCCATCCCCATCCCAACTCCTCCTTGAGAAGGAATTTTGGAAATTCCCTGGGAATTCGGGACTCCAGGAAGGGTCTCCCTTCCCTTCTCCATCCCCAAAAATTCCATAAAAATCCCTTGGGATGGATCCTGAGCATCCTGGATCTCGGAATCCTGGAATGGTTTGGGATGGGATCCACGGACCTTCAATCCCCTCCCATTCCAACCCCAATCCCAAACTGCTCCAACCTTTCCCGGGACGCTCCCAGGGGCGAACCAACCCCTCCCCTCCGTGCCACACTGGACATTTTCCCGGAATTCCTGATGTTTTTCCCCCAGAATTACCAATTTTCCCCCAAATTCCCTTCTCTTTTCCATCCCCAAATTCCATAAAAATCCCTCGGGAAAAATTCTGAGCGTCCTGGATCCCGGAATCCCAGAATGGTTTGGGATGGGATCCACGGACCTTCAATCCCCTCCCATTCCAACCCCAATCCCAAACTGCTCCAACCTTTCCTTGGACACTCCCAGGGGCGAACCAACCCCTCCCCTCCGTGCCACACTGGACATTTTCCCGGAATTCCTGATGTTTTTCCCCCAGAATTACCAATTTTCCCCCAAATTCCCAGCTCTTTTCCATTCCCAAATTCCATAAAACCCCCTTGGGATGGATCCTGAGTGTCCTGTATCCCAGAATCCCGGAATGGTTTGGGGTGGGATCCACGGACCTTCAATCCCATCCCACATTCCAACCCCAATCCCAAACTGCTCCAACCTTTCCCGGCACGCTCCCAGGGGCGAACCAACCCCTCCCCTCGGTGCCACACCCGACTTTTCCTGGAATTCCAAATGTTTTCCCCCAGAATTACCAATTTTCCCCCAAATTCCCTTCTCTTTTCCATCCCCAAATTCCATCAAAATCCCTCGGGATGGATCCTGAGCGTCCTGGATCTTGGAATCCCAGAATGGTTTGGGGCGGGATCCACGGACCTTCAATCCCACCCCACATTCCAACCCCTCCCCTCGGTGCCACACCCGACTTTTCCCGGAATTCCTGATTTTTTCCATCCCCAAATTCCATAAAGCCCCCTCGGGATGGATCCTGAGCGTCCTTGATCCCAGAATCCCAGAATGGTTTGGGGCGGGATCCACGGACCTTCAATCCCACCCCACATTCCAACCCCTCCCCTCGGTGCCACACTGGACGTTTTTCCCCCGGAATTCCCGACGTGTTTTTCCCGGGAATTCTGTCCCTCAGGAGCGGCTGATGCTGTCCATCCTGCCCAAGCACGTGGCCGACGAGATGCTGAAGGACATGAAGAAGGACCCGAGCCAGAAGGAGCTGCAGCAGTTCAACACCATGTACATGTACCGCCACGAGAACGTCAGGTCAGCGCCCCGGAATCCCGGGAAAACATTCCCGGAGCGCTCCCCACATCCCCAAAAGTCCCCCCGCTTTACGTGCGGACAGTGCTCCCGGAAAACCGGCGGGAAAATCCCCGAAATTCCCGTTCTGTGCGGGAAAACGGTCGAGGGGAATAATGGGAATTCCCCAAAATCCCCCTGTTCCGTGCCTGGGAAACATTCCTGGAAATCCCCATGGGAATTCCACAAAATTCCCCCTTTCTGTGCTGAAAATGTTCCCAGAAAACCGGTGGGAATTCCCAAAATTTCCCCCATTCCACGTGGAAAACGTTCCCGGAAAACCAGCGGGAATTCCCCAAATTCCCCAATTCGGCACAGAAAACATTCCAGGGGAACTGGTAGGAATTCCCAGAATTCCCGCTGTTCCGTGCAGAAAACTCCCTGGAAAACTTGCGGGGATTCCCAAAATTTGCATAGAAAATGTTCCTGGAAAAGCAGCAGGAATTCCCAAAATTCCAGCATGGAAAACATTCCTTTGAAACCAGTGGGAATTCCCAAAATTCCCCCATTCTGAGTGGAAAACATTCCTGGAAAAACAGCGGGGAATTTCCCCAAAATTCCCCCATTCTGCACAGAAAATGTTCCTGGAAAACCCCTCAGGAATTCCCAAAATCCCCCGCTTTCCATGCGGAAAAAATTGCTGGGAAAACGGTTGGGAATCCCCGAAATTCCACCATCCTGTGTGGAAAAACGAGGGAAATCACGGGAATTCCCAAAATTCACCCGTGGTGCCCAGAAAATGTTCCCAGAAAATCATCAGGAATTTCCAAAATTTCCCCATTCTGCACAGAAAATGTTCCCGGAAAACCATCGGGAATTCCCAAAATTCCCCCGTCCTGCCCAGAAAACTTTCCCAGGAAACCAGTGGGAATTCCCAAAATTCCAGCATGGAAAACATTCAATTGAAACCAGTGGGAATTCCCAAGATTCCCCCGTTCCGCGCAGAAAATGCTCCCGGAAAACCAGTGGGAATCCCAGAAATTCCTCCTGTTCCGTACAGAAAATGTTGCCAGGAAAGCAGCGGGAATTCCCAAAATTCTGGCGTAGAAAACGTTCCTGGAAAACTGCTGGGAATTCCCAAAATTCCCCCATTCTGAGTGGAAAACGTTCCCGGAAAACCAGCGGGGAATTTCCCCAGAATTCCCCCGTTCAGTGCAGAAAACATTCCCGGAAAAATGCTGAGAATTCCCAAAATTCCAGCGTGGAAAGCGTTCCCAGAAAACCAGCGGGAATTCCCAAAATTCCCCCATTCTGCATGGAAAACATTCCCAGAAAAACAGGGTGAATTCCCAAAACTCCCCCTGTTCCATGCTGAAAATGTTCCCGGAAAACCGGCAGGAATTCCCCAAAATTCTCCCATTCTGCACGGAAAACATTCCCGGAAAACCGGCGGGAATTCCCAAATCTGGGATTGAGTTTTCAGGGCATCGTTTTTTGCCGTATCCAGGATTTTTTTTTTTGGGAAAACGGGAATGAGGAAGTCGGGTTTGAATTTTGTATCCCACATCCAGGATTTTTTTTTTGGGAAAAATGGGAATGAGGAAGTTGGGATTGAGTTTGTTGTGTGTCGTTTTTGCCTTATCCCGGATTTTTTTTTGGGAAAACAGGAAGTGGGAAGTCGGGACTGAGTTTGTGTCACCACATCCAGGATTTTTTGGGGAAAAATGGGAATGAAGAAGTTGGGATTGAGTTTGTTGTGTGTCGTTTTTGCCTTATCCCGGATTTTTTTTTTATATTTTTTTGGGAAAACAGGAAGTGGGAAATCTGGGCTGAGTTCATATATCCAGGTTTTTTTTTTTTTTGGAAAACTGGAAATGAGGGAGTTGGGATTGAGTTTGTAGAACGTCGTTTTCACCAGATCCTGGATTGTTTTTGGGAAAACTGGGAATGAGGAAGTCGGGACTGAGCTTGTATCGCCACATCCGGGATTTTTTTGGGAGGAAAACAGGAATGGGAATGTCAGGACTGAGTTTGTCAAGTGTCGTTTGCACCGGATCCAGGATTTTTTTTGGGAAAACGGGAATGAGGAAGTCGGGTTTGAATTTTGTATCCCACATCCAGGATTTTTTTTGGAAAAATGGGAATGAAGAAGCTGGGATTGAGTTTGTTGAGCGTAGTTTTTGCCTTATCCCGGATTTTTTTTTTTATTTTTTTGGGAAAACAGGAAGTGGGAAATCCGGGCTGCGTTCATATATCCAGATTTTTTTTTTTTTTGGGAAAACTGGGAATGAGGGAGTTGGGATTGAGTTTGTTGAGTGTGGTTTTCACCAGATCCAGGATTTTTTTTGGGAAAACTTCAATGAGGGAGATGGGACTGAGTTTGTATCGCCACATCCGGGATTTTTTTGGGGGGAAAACAGGAAGGAGAAAGTCAGGATTAAGTTCGTTGAGTGTCATTTTTTCCATATCCAGCACTTTTTTTTGGGAATACGGGAATGGGGGAGTTGGGACTGAATTTGTATCCCCACATCCAGGATTTTTTTTTTTTGGGAAAACAGGAATGAGGGAGTTGGGATTGGGTTTGTATCATCACATCCCGGGTAGACTTTTTCTGGAAAATGGGAATGGGGAAGCCAGGATAAAGTTTGTCGAGCGTCGTTTTTGCCTTATCCCGGATATTTTTTTTGGGAAAACTGGGAATGGGGGAAGTCGGGACTGAGTTTGTATCGCCACATCCAGGAATTTTTTTAGGAAAACTGGAAATGAGGGAGTTGGGATTGAGTTTGTAGAACGTCGTTTTCACCAGATCCTGGATTGTTTTTGGGAAAACTGGGAATGAGGAAGTCGGGACTGAGCTTGTATCGCCACATCCGGGATTTTTTTGGGAGGAAAACAGGAATGGGAATGTCAGGACTGAGTTTGTCAAGTGTCGTTTGCACCGGATCCAGGATTTTTTTTGGGAAAACGGGAATGAGGAAGTCGGGTTTGAATTTTGTATCCCACATCCAGGATTTTTTTTTTGGGAAAAATGGGAATGAGGAAGTTGGGATTGAGTTTGTTGTGTGTCGTTTTTGCCTTATCCCGGATTTTTTTTTGGGAAAACAGGAAGTGGGAAGTCGGGACTGAGTTTGTGTCACCACATCCAGGATTTTTTGGGGAAAAATGGGAATGAAGAAGTTGGGATTGAGTTTGTTGTGTGTCGTTTTTGCCTTATCCCGGATTTTTTTTTGGGAAAACAGGAAGTGGGAAGTCGGGACTGAGTTTGTGTCACCACATCCAGGATTTTTTGGGGAAAAATGGGAATGAAGAAGTTGGGATTGAGTTTGTTGAGTGTGGTTTTCACCAGATCCAGGATTTTTTTTGGGAAAACTTCAATGAGGGAGAGAAAAATGGGAATGAGGAAGTTGGGATTGAGTTTGTTGTGTGTCGTTTTTGCCTTATCCCGGATTTTTTTTTGGGAAAACAGGAAGTGGGAAGTCGGGACTGAGTTTGTGTCACCACATCCAGGATTTTTTGGGGAAAAATGGGAATGAAGAAGTTGGGATTGAGTTTGTTGTGTGTCGTTTTTGCCTTATCCCGGATTTTTTTTTTATATTTTTTTGGGAAAACAGGAAGTGGGAAATCCGGGCTGCGTTCATATATCCAGATTTTTTTTTTTTTTGGGAAAACTGGGAATGAGGGAGTTGGGATTGAGTTTGTTGAGTGTGGTTTTCACCAGATCCAGGATTTTTTTTGGGAAAACTTCAATGAGGGAGATGGGACTGAGTTTGTATCGCCACATCCGGGATTTTTTTGGGGGGAAAACAGGAAGGAGAAAGTCAGGATTAAGTTCGTTGAGTGTCATTTTTTCCATATCCAGCACTTTTTTTTGGGAATACGGGAATGGGGGAGTTGGGACTGAATTTGTATCCCCACATCCAGGATTTTTTTTTTTTGGGAAAACAGGAATGAGGGAGTTGGGATTGGGTTTGTATCATCACATCCCGGGTAGACTTTTTCTGGAAAATGGGAATGGGGAAGCCAGGATAAAGTTTTTTTTTTTTTTTGGAAAACTGGAAATGAGGGAGTTGGGATTGAGTTTGTAGAACGTCGTTTTCACCAGATCCTGGATTGTTTTTGGGAAAACTGGGAATGAGGAAGTCGGGACTGAGCTTGTATCGCCACATCCGGGATTTTTTTGGGAGGAAAACAGGAATGGGAATGTCAGGACTGAGTTTGTCAAGTGTCGTTTGCACCGGATCCAGGATTTTTTTTGGGAAAACGGGAATGAGAAATTCAGGATTGAGTTAGTATTGCCACATCCGGGATTTTTTTTGGGAAAACAGGAATGAGAAAGTCAGGATTAAGTTTGTTGAGTGTCATTTTTTCCATATCCAGCACTTTTTTTTGGGAATACGGGAATGGGGGAGTTGGGACTGAATTTGTATCCCCACATCCAGGATTTTTTTTTTTTGGGAAAACAGGAATGAGGGAGTTGGGATTGGGTTTGTATCATCACATCCCGGGTAGACTTTTTCTGGAAAATGGGAATGGGGAAGCCAGGATAAAGTTTGTCGAGCGTCGTTTTTGCCTTATCCCGGATATTTTTTTTGGGAAAACTGGGAATGGGGGAAGTCGGGACTGAGTTTGTATCGCCACATCCAGGAATTTTTTTAGGAAAACTGGAAATGAGGGAGTTGGGATTGAGTTTGTTGAGTGTGGTTTTCACCAGATCCTGGATTGTTTTTGGGAAAACTGGGAATGAGGAAGTCGGGACTGAGCTTGTATGGCCACATCCGGGATTTTTTTGGGGGGAAAAAAGGAATGGAGAATGTCAGGATTGAGTTTGTCGAGTGTCGTTTTTGCCATATCCAGGATTTTTTTTTGGGAAAACGGGCAATGGGGGAGTTGGGATTGAGTTGGTATCCCCACATCCGGGATTTTTGTTTTTGGGAGAATGGGAATGGGGAAATTGGGATTGAGATAGTGTCGCCACATCCGGGAATGTTTTTGGAAAAACAGGAATAAGGGAGTTGGGATTGAGTTTGTATCATCACATCCTGAACAGACTTTTTTTGGAAAATGGGAATGGGGGAAGTTGGGACTGAGTTTGTATCACCACATCCGGGATTTTTTGGGGGTGAAAACAGGAATGAAGATGTCGGGACTGAGTTTGTTGAGTGTCGTTTTTGCCTTATCCAGGATTTTTTTTTGGGGAAACGGGGACTGGGTGAAGTCGGGGCTGAGTTTGTATCGCCACATCCGGGATTTTTTGGGGGTGAAAACAGGAATGAGGATGTCAGGACTGAGTTTGTCGAGCGTCGTTTTTGCCTTATCCCGGATATTTTTTTTGGGAAAACTGGGAATGGGGGAAGTCGGGACTGAGTTTGTATCGCCACATCCAGGAATTTTTTTAGGAAAACTGGAAATGAGGGAGTTGGGATTGAGTTTGTTGAGTGTGGTTTTCACCAGATCCTGGATTGTTTTTGGGAAAACTGGGAATGAGGAAGTCGGGACTGAGCTTGTATGGCCACATCCGGGATTTTTTTGGGGGGAAAAAAGGAATGGAGAATGTCAGGATTGAGTTTGTCGAGTGTCGTTTTTGCCATATCCAGGATTTTTTTTTGGGAAAACGGGCAATGGGGGAGTTGGGATTGAGTTGGTATCCCCACATCCGGGATTTTTGTTTTTGGGAGAATGGGAATGGGGAAATTGGGATTGAGATAGTGTCGCCACATCCGGGAATTTTTTTGGAAAAACAGGAATAAGGGAGTTGGGATTGAGTTTGTATCATCACATCCCGAACAGACTTTTTTTGGAAAATGGGAATGGGGGAAGTTGGGACTGAGTTTGTATCACCACATCCGGGATTTTTTGGGGGTGAAAACAGGAATGAGGATGTCAGGACTGAGTTTGTCGAGCGTCGTTTTTGCCTTATCCAGGATTTTTTTTTGGGGAAACGGGGACTGGGTGAAGTCGGGGCTGAGTTTGTATCGCCACATCCGGGATTTTTTTGGAAAAACAGGAATAAGGAACTGGGATCGAGTTTGTGTCATCACATCCCGAATAGATTTTTCTTTTCTGGAAAATGGGAATGGGGAAGCCAGGATAAAGTTTGTCGAGCATTGTTTTTACCACATCCAGGAATTTTTTGGGGGGAAACGGGGAATGGGGGAAGTCGGGGCTGAGTTTGTATCCCCGCATCCGGGATTTTTTTGGGGTGAAAACAGGAATGGGGATGTCAGGATTGAATTTGTCGAGCCTCATTTTTGCAATATCCTGCTTTTTTTTTTTTTTTTTTGGGAAAATGGGAATTGGGGGAGTTGGGATTGGGTTTGTATCATCACATCCTGAACAGACTTTGTTTGGAAAATGGGAATGGGGGAGCCAGGATAAAGTTTGTCGAGCGTCGTTTTTGCCTTATCCAGGATTTTTTTGGGGGAAACTGGGACTGGGTGAAGTTGGGGCTGAGTTTGTATCCCCGCATCCGGGATTTTTTTGGGATGGGGGGAAGCGGGGTGCCGGGGCTGATCCGGGGGCGCTGTTCTTTTTTTTTTTTTTTTTTGGGAAAATGGGAATTGGGGGAGTTGGGATTGGGTTTGTATCATCACATCCTGAACAGACTTTGTTTGGAAAATGGGAATGGGGGAGCCAGGATAAAGTTTGTCGAGCGTCGTTTTTGCCTTATCCAGGATTTTTTTGGGGGAAACTGGGGCTGGGTGAAGTTGGGGCTGAGTTTGTATCCCCGCATCCGGGATTTTTTTGGGATGGGGGGAAGCGGGGTGCCGGGGCTGATCCGGGGGCGCTGTTCCCGCCCCGCAGCATCCTGTTTGCGGACATCGTGGGCTTCACGCAGCTCTCGTCGTCCTGCAGCGCCCAGGAGCTCGTCAAGCTCCTCAACGAGCTCTTCGCCCGCTTCGACAAGCTGGCCGCCGTGAGTGCGATTCCCAAAAAAACACGGAATTCCCAAAAAAACACGGAATTCCCAAAAAAATATAAATCCGGGATGGCGGCGAGGAGGTTGGGAATGCGCGGGGGGATGGAGGCGTCCCCGCCCCGATGGGTGGGGAAGGGAAATCTGAGGGTTTGCGTTGGGATTTGTGCGGGATCGTGGGAATTCCGGAATCATCCGGGGGTTGTCCCGGAATTCTGGGAATTGCCAGAAGCATCACCAGCTGCGGATCAAGATCCTGGGGGATTGCTACTACTGCATCTGCGGGCTGCCGGAATTCCGGGAGGACCACGCCGTCTGCTCCATCCGGATGGGGCTGGCCATGGTGGAGGCCATCGCGTAAGGAACGGCGGGAACGGGGACGGGAACGGGAGCGGGAACGGGGACGGGGAAGGGGATGGGAATGGGGATGGGCGGGGATGGGAATGGAAATGGAAATGGGGACGGGAATGGGGACGGGAATGGGGATGGGAATGGGAGTGGGAACGGGAATGGGAATGGAAATGGGGACGGGGAGGGGAATGGGAATGGAAATGGGGACGGGAATGGGGATGGGGACGGGAATGGGGACGGGAATGGGGATGGGAATGGGATGGGGACGGGGATGGGAATGGAAGTGGGAATGGGATGAGGACGGGAACGGGGATGGGAATGGGGACGGGAATGGGGATGGGGATGGGGACAGGGATGGGAATGGGATGGGGACGGGGATGGGAATGGAAGTGGGAATGGGGACTGGAACGGGAATGGGAATGGAAATGGGAATGGGAGTGGGAATGGGAATTGGAATGGGATTGGGGATGGGATGGGATGGGATGGGATGGGATGGGATGGGGATGGGGGAGGGGATGGCAATGGGGATGGGAATGGCAATGGGGATGGGAATGGGACGGGGACGGGAATGGGGATGGGGACGGGAATGGGGACGGGAATGGGGATGGGAATGGGATGGGGACGGGGATGGGAATGGAAGTGGGAATGGGATGAGGACGGGAACGGGGATGGGAATGGGGACGGGAATGGGGATGGGGATGGGGACAGGGATGGGAATGGGATGGGGACGGGGATGGGAATGGAAGTGGGAATGGGGACTGGAACGGGAATGGGAATGGAAATGGGAATGGGAGTGGGAATGGGAATTGGAATGGGATTGGGGATGGGATGGGATGGGATGGGATGGGATGGGAATGGGATTGGGGATGGCAATGGGGATGGGAATGGCAATGGGGATGGGAATGGGACGGGATGGCAATGGGAATTGGGATGGAGATAGGAAAGGGAATGGAATTGGAATGGGAACGCGGATGGGAATTGGAACGGGGATGGGAATGGGAATGGGAATTGGAATGGGATTGGGATGGGAAAGAGATTGGGGATGGGAACGGGAATGGGAATGGAATGGGAATGGGATGGGGATTGGGATGGGAAGGAGGATGGGAATGGCAATGACAATGGCCATGGAGAAGGGAATGGGGATGGAAACGGGAACAGGGATGGGAAGGGGAATGGGAATTGGGGATGGGCTTGGGGTATGATTGTTGACAATGGAGGCCGGGCTGTGCTGAGGCTACATTCCCTGCGGATTGTCTGCATTCCCTGTGGATACTCCGCATTCCGTGCTGACATTCCCCATAGCCATCCCTCTTTCCCCATGGCCATTCCCACTTCTCTGTGACCATTCCCTGTCCCCATGGCCACCGCGGTGTCCCCGTGCCCAGCTCGGTGCGGGAGCGGACGCGCACGGCCGTGGACATTCCCCATTCCCATTCCCCATTCCCCATTCCCCATTCCTGGTGGCCATTCCCCACCGCGGTGTCCCCGTGCCCAGCTCGGTGCGGGAGCGGACGCGCACGGCCGTGGACATGCGCGTGGGCGTGCACAGCGGCGCCGTGCTGGGCGGCGTGCTGGGCCAGAAGCGCTGGCAGTACGACGTCTGGTCCACCGACGTCACCGTGGCCAACAAGATGGAGGCGGGCGGCATCCCCGGTCCCCATTCCCCGCCGGGGGCGGCCGCGGGGATCTGGTGACACCGCGGTGACGGCGCGGTGACGGCGGTGGCCGCGGGCAGGCGCGTGCACATCTCGCAGAGCACCGTGGACTGCCTGAAGGGCGAGTTCGAGGTGGAGCCGGGCGAGGGCGGCTCGCGCTGCGACTACCTGAGGGACAAGGGCATCGTCACCTACCTGGTGGTGGTGCCCAAGCAGGGACTGCGGCACGGCGTCAACGGCGTGGTGAGTGGCGCCCTGGGGACAGAGGGGACAGCGGGGACATGGGTCTGGGGACATTGCCACTGGTCATGTCAACGGCGTGGTGAGTGGCACCGCTGGGGACACCGGGGACATCGGTGTGGGGACATTGCCACTGACCTTGTCCCAGGGTGTGGTGAGTGGTGCCGTGGGGACAGTGGGGACACTGAGGACATAGATGTGGGGACATTGCCACTGACCGTGTCCCATGGCGTGGTGAGTGGCGCCGTGGGGACAACGGGGACACTGGGGACACCGGGGACATGGGTATGGGGACATTGCCACTGGTCATATCAATGGTGTGGTGAGTGACACTGCTGGGGACACCAGGGACAGCGGGGACATGGGCTGTAGGGACAGCCAGCATGACCACGTCTGTCACTGACCTTGTCCCATGGTGTGGTGAGTGGCGCCGTGGGGACACTGGGGACACTGGGGACACGGGTGTGGGGACACTGTCACTGACTGTCCCATGGCGTGGTGAGTGACACTGCTGGGGACACCAGGGACAGCGGGGACATGGGCTGTAGGGACAGCCAGCATGACCACGTCTGTCACTGACCTTGTCCCATGGTGTGGTGAGTGGTGCCGTGGGGACACCGGGGACACTGGGGACATGGGTGTGGGGACACTGTCACTGACTTTGTCCCATGGCGTGGTGAGTGACACCGCTGGGGACACCAGGGACACTGGGGACATGGGTGTGGGGACACCCAGGGTGACCATGTCTGTCACTGACTGTCCCATGGCGTGGTGAGTGACACTGCTGGGGACAACAGGGACATCAGGGACACTGGGGACATTGGTGTGGGGACATCCAGGGTGACCATTTCTGTCACTGACCTTGTCCCATGGTGTGGTGAGTGACACCGCTGGGGACACTGAGGACACTGGGGACATGTGTGTGGGGACATCCAGGATGACTGCAGGCCACTACAGACACTGTCACTGACTGTGTCCCCTGGTGTGGTGAGACCATGTCTGTCACTGACTGTCCCATGGCGTGGTGAGTGACACCACTGGGTACACCAGGGACATTGGGGACATGGGTGTGTGGCCACCCAGGGTGACTGCATGCCACCACAGACACTGTCACTGACCGTGTCCCATGGCATGGTGACACTGCTGGGGACACCAGGGACACTGGGGACACTGGGGACATGGGTGTGGGGACATTGCCACTGACCGTGTCCAATGGCGTGGTGAGTGACACTGCTGGGGACAACGGGGACACTGGGGACATGGGTGTGGGGAAAGCTAGGGTGACCATGTCTGTCACTGACCGTGTCCCATGGCGTGGTGAGTGACACCGCTGGGGACACTGAGGACATTGGGGACACTGGGGACGGGGCTGTGAGGACACTGTCGCTGACCTTGTCCCATGGCATGGTGAGTGACACCGCTGGGGACACCAGGGACACTGGGGACACTGGGGACATGGGTGTGGGGACACCCAGGGTGGCTGAACCCCACCACAGACACTGTCACTGACTGTGTCTCGTGGCTTGGTGACACTGCTGGGGACACTGGGGACACTGCGACACTGGGGACACTGGGGACACTGGGGACACTGGGGACACTGGGGACACTGGGCCACTGGGGACACGGGTGGGGAGACACTGGGGGTGACCATGTCTGTCACTGACTATGTCCCATGGCGTGGTGAGTGGCACCGGGGACACTGAGGACATTGGGGACACTGGGGACGGGGCTGTGAGGACACTGTCGCTGACCTTGTCCCATGGCATGGTGAGTGACACCGCTGGGGACACCAGGGACACTGGGGACACTGGGGACATGGGTGTGGGGGACACCCAGGGTGGCTGAACCCCACCACAGACACTGTCACTGACTGTGTCTCGTGGCTTGGTGACACTGCTGGGGACACCGGGGACACCGGGGACACCGGGGACAGCGGGGACACTGGGCCACTGGGGACACGGGTGGGGGTGACCATGTCTGTCACTATGTCCCATGGCGTGGTGAGTGGCACCGCTGGGGACACCAGGGACACTGGGGACACGGGTGGGGAGACACTGGGGGTGACCATGTCTGTCACTGACTATGTCCCATGGCGTGGTGAGTGGCACCGCTGGGGACACCAGGGACACTGGGGGCGTCAGGGCATGGGGACACCCATGGTGTGCGTGTCACTTATCATGTCCCACAGTGTGGTGGGTGACACTGGTGGCACCGCTGGGGACACCAGGGACACTGGGGGCGTCAGGGCATGGGGACATTGCCACTGACCTTGTCCCAGAGCATGGTGAGTGACACTTATCGGGACACGGGGTGTGGGGACATTGCCACTGGTCATGTCCGTGTTGTGGTGAGTGGCATTGCTGGGGACACTGGGGACATTGAGGGCACTGGGGACATGGGCTGTGGGGACACTGACCGCGTGCCATGGTGTGGCGAGTGGCGCTGGCAGTGGGGACACCAGGGACACTGGGGACACGGGGTTTGGGGACACCCATGGTGTGCGTGTCACTGATCATGTCCCACAGTGTGGTGGGTGACACTGGTGGCACCGCTGGGGACAACGGTGAGGAGATGGGCCGTGGGGACACTGTCACTGACCGCGTGCCACGGCCTAGCGAGTGACACTGGTGGCAGCGGTGGCACTGAGGACACCATGGTGACCATGGCCCACCACGGACACTGTCACTGACCTTGTCCCATGGTGTGCTGAGTGACACCGGTGGCACTGGTGACACAGTGACCCCCACCATGCCCTGTCCCCTGCAGAAGCTGCCCCTGACCTCATTGTACAGCATGATGGGTGACAATGGGGACACCGGTGGCACTGGTGACCCAGTGACCCCCACCATGCCCTGTCCCCTGCAGAAGCTGCCCCTGACCTCATTGTACAGCATGATGGGTGACAATGGGGACACCGGTGGCACTGGTGACACTGGGACACCCACCATGCCCTGTCCCCTGCAGAGACTGTCCCTGACCTCATTGTATGGCATGATGGGTGACAATGGTGACACCGGTGGCACTGGTGACACAGTGACACCCACCATGCCCTGTCCCCTGCAGAAGCTGTCCCTGACCTGATGGGTGACACCGGTGACACTGGTGACATGGTGACACCCACCATGGCCGCTGTCCCCTGCAGAAGCTGTCCCTGACCTGATGGGTGACACCGGCGACACCGGTGACATGGTGACACCCCCCATGGCCGCTGTCCCCTGCAGAAGCTGTCCCTGACCTGATGGGTGACACCGGTGACACCGGTGACATGGTGACACGGTGACACCCACCATGGCTGCTGTCCCCTGCAGAAGCTGTCCCTGACCTTGCCCCATGTCATGATGAGTGACACTGGTGACACAGTGACATGGGGACACAGTGACACCCACCGTGTCCCTGTCCCCTGCAGAAGCTGTCCCTGACCTGATGGGTGACACCGGTGACACTGGTGACATGGTGACACTGTGACACAGTGACACCCCCCACGCCCTGTCCCCTGCAGAAGCTGTCCCTGACCTCATTGTACAGCATGATGGGTGACACAGGTGACACAGGTGACACCAGTGACACGGTGACACTGTGACGCCCACCATCCCTGCAGAAGCTGTCCCTGACCTCATCCCACAGTGACAGTGACATGGAGTGATGAGTGACACAGGTGACACAATGACACAGGTGACACAGTGACACGGTGACACGGTGACACCCCCCGTGTCCCTGTCCCCTGCAGAAGCTGTTCCTGACCTCATCCCACAGTGACAGTGACATGATGTGATGAGTGACACAGGTGACACGGTGACACCCCCGTGTCCCTGTCCCCTGCAGAAGCTGTCCCTGACCTCGTCGCACGCCGTGTCCCCGGCCGCCGTCACCACCAACGGCAGCCTGAGCCCGGAGCCGCCCGAGGACGCCGAGCGCGGCCGCAGCAGCTCCGCCGAGCTCGACGACGACGACGACTCCGAGGTACCGCCATCCCCGCCGTGCCCCCGTGTCCCTGTCCCCTGCAGAAGCTGTCCCTGACCTCGTCGCACGCCGTGTCCCCGGCCGCCGTCACCACCAACGGCAGCCTGAGCCCGGAGCCGCCCGAGGACGCCGAGCGCGGCCGCAGCAGCTCCGCCGAGCTCGACGACGACGACGACTCCGAGGTACCGCCGTCCCCGCCGTGTCCCCGGCGTGTCCCCGGTGTGTCCTCAATGTGTCCCCGCGGTGTCCCCGCGGTGTCCCCACGGTGTCCCCGGGCCCGCAGGCGCCCAACCCGTCGTTCCCGAACCCGCGGCGGCGGCTGCGGCTGCGGGACCTGGCGGAGCGCGTGGCGGGCGCGGCGCAGAACGAGCAGGAGCTGCACCGGCTGCTCAACGAGGCGCTGCTGGAGCGCGAGTCCATCCAGGCGTGAGTCACTCCCAAAAATTTTAAAAAAGATCCTGGAAATCCCTCAAAATTCCTCAAAATTCGTCAAAATCCCTCAAAATACACAAAAATTTTAAAAAAAGATCCTGGAAATCCGTCAAAATCCCTTAAAATCCCTCAAAATCCATCAAAATCCCTCAAAATCCACAAAAATTTAAAAAAAATCCCCAAAATTCCCCGGAATCTGACGCGCGCCGTGGCGTCCCCCAGGCTGAAGGGCAAGAGCACCTTCCGCCTGTCGCTGCGCTTCACCGACCCCGAGATGGAGACGCGCTACTCGGTGGAGAAGGAGAAGCAGAGCGGCGCCGCCTTCAGCTGCTCCTGCGTCGTCCTCCTCTTCACCGCGCTGGTGGAGGCCGCCATCGACCCCTGGTAGGGCGGTGACACCCGGGGACGCGCCGGGCGGCGCCGCGCCGTCCCCGCTGACCCTCCCCGCGGGGTTTTTGGGCAGGCTGGTGACCAACTACGTGACGTTCGTGGTGGGCGAGGTGCTGCTGCTCGGGCTCACGCTCTGCTCCTTGGCCGCCGTCTTCCCCCGGGTGAGGCCTCGGCGACGTCGCGGAGGCGCCTCGGGGACGTCCCCGGCGGTTGTGCCGCCCCCGGTGACCGACCCGCGTTGTTGTCGCCGCAGGCTTTCCCCAAAAAGCTGGTGGCCTTCTCCACCTGGATCGACCGCACGCGCTGGGCGCGCAACAGCTGGGCCATGGCGGCCATCGCCATCGTCACCGCGGCCGACATCGTGGACATGGTGAGGGGCCACCCGCGCGCTGGGGGACGCCCTGCGCCTGCTGCCACCCCGGCCTCGTGTCCCCAGCTGGGGAGCACAGGGTGGTGGCCAACGGGGCCACCTCGGGGTGGTGGCACTGAGGAGCAGTTACATCACCCTGGTGGCCATGGTGGCCATCATGTCCCCATGTCCCCATCTCGGGTGCCAGGGTGACGGAACGGAGCAGTTTCATCACCCTGGTGACCACGTTTCTTTGTCCCCAGCTCAGCTGCCATGGGGACCATGGGTTGGTGGCCAATGGGACATTGGGGCCACCATTGTGTGGTGGCTGTGAGGAGCAGCCAGAACACTGCAGTTACACCACTCTGGTGGCCATGGTGGCTACCATGTCCTCATGTCCCCAGCTCCCTTGCCGTTGCGACCGCTGGGTGGTGACCAACGGGACCTCGGGGCCACCATGGGGTGGTGGCTGTGAGGAGCAGCCCAGATATTGCAGCTCCATCACCCTGGTGGCCATGGTGGCCACCCTGTCGCTGTGTCCCCAGCTTGGCTGCCATGGGGACCACGGGGTGGTGACCCATAGGGACATTGGGGCCACCATGGGGTGACTGAACGGAGCAGTTACATCACCCTGGTGGGCATGGTGGCCACCATGTCCCCATGCTGACCCCACCCCTGTGTCCCCAGCTCGCCTGCCGTCGCGACCGCTGGGTGGTGGCCAACGGGACCTTGGGGCCACCATGGGGTGGTGGCTGTGAGGAGCAGCCCAGATATTGCAGCTCCATCACCCTGGTGGCCATGGTGGCCACCCTGTCGCTGTGTCCCCAGCTTGGGCTGCCATGGGGACCGTGGGGTGGTGGCCAGTGGGACAATGGGGCCACCATGGGGTGGTGGCTGTGAGGAGCAGCCCAGATATTGCAGCTCCATCACCCTGGTGGCCATGGTGGCCACCCTGTCGCTGTGTCCCCAGCTTGGCTGCCATGGGGACCATGGGGTGGTGGCCAATGGGACCTCGGGGCCACCATGGGGTGGTGGCTGTGAGGAGCAGCCTCAGCATTACAGCTCCATCACCCTGGTGGCCATGGTGGCCACCATGTCCCCATGTGGCCACCGTGTCCCCACGTCCCCACACTGACCCCAGTTTCATGTCCCCATCTTGGCTGCCATGGGGACCACGGGGTGGTGACCAATGGGACATTGGGGCCCCCATGGGGTGGTGGCTGTGAGGAACAGTTACATCACCCTGGTGGGCCACCCTGGTGGCCACTGTGTTCCTGTGCTGACCCCAGCCCTGTGTCCCCAGCTCGCCTGCCGTCGTGACCGCTGGGTGGTGGCCAACGGGACCTTGGGGCCACCATGGGGTGGTGGCAGTGAGCAGCAGCCCAGATATTGCAGCTGCATCACCCTGGTGACCACCATGTCCCCTTGTCCCCATCTCGGCTGCCATGGGGACCGTAGGTTGGTGACCAACGGGACATTGGGGCCACCATGGGGTGACGGAACAGAGCAGTTTCGTCACCCTGGCTGGCCACTCTGGTGGCCACCGTGTCCCCATGCTGACCCCACCCTCGTGTCCCCAGCTCGCCTGCCGTCGCGACCGCTGGGTGGTGACCAACGGGACCTCGGGGCCACCCCGCGGCGGCGGCGGCTGCGCCGACCACCCCAAGTACTACAGCTACATCGCCCTGCTGGCCCTGGTGGCCACCGTGATGCTGGTGCAGGTCAGCCACATGGTCAAGCTGACCCTCATGGTGCTCATCACCGCCGCCGCCGGCGCCGTCAACTTCTCCGCCTGGGAGCCCATCTTCGACCAGTACGACCGGCGGCGCGGCCAGCACAGCTCGTAAGGGGACACGGGGACGGGGAGGGGACACCACGGGGGACGGGGAATCCCGGAATTCCGTCATCCAGACGATCCCTCGGCAGGTCCGTGCTGGTTCCCTCCAAGTATTCCATGACCGCCATGATCTTCGTGGTGATGCTCAGCTTCTACTACTTCTCGCGGCACGTGAGTGGCTGGGAGGGGAAAGGTTTCCTGTCCTCCCTTTTCCTTCTTCTTCCTTCCTTTTCCTGCCCTTTCTTCCCTTTTCCTTCCTTTTCCCTGCTTCTCTTCCCTTTCCCTTCCTTTTCCTCCTCTTACCTTTCCTTGCCTTCTTTTTCCTTCTTCTTCCTCCATTTCCTGCCCTTTCTTCCCCTTTCCTTCCTTTTCATTCTTCTTCTTTCTTTTCCTGCCTTTTCCTGCCCTTTCTTCCATTTCCTTCCGTCTCCTTCCTTTCCTGCCTTTTCTTCCCTTTCCCTTCTTTTTCCTCCTCTTACCTCTCCTTCCCTCCCTTTTCCTTTTCCTGCCTTTTCTTCCTCTTTCCTTCTCTGGCCTCTTCTTCCCTCCCTTTTTCTTCTTCTGCCATATTTTTCTTTCTTTTTCCTTGATTTTCTTTACTTTTCCTTCCTTTTCCTGCCCTTTCTTCCATTTTCGTTCCTTCTTCCTCCTTTTCTTGCCTTTTCTTCCCCTTCCCTCCCTTTTCCTCCCTTTTCCTTATTTTGCCTTCTTTTTGTGCTATTTCTTCCCTCTCCTTCCCTCCTTCATTTTCCTTCCCCTTCCTCCTCTTACCTCTCCTTCCCTCCCTTTTCCTTCTTCTTCCATATTTTTCCTTCTTTTTCCTGCCCTTTTTCTGCTTCTGTTCATTTATTTTCCTTCTTTCTCCTGCCTTTTCCTTCCTTTTCCCTCCTTCTCGTCCCTTTCCCTTCCTTTTCCACCTCTTCCCTTTCCTTCCCTTCCTTTTCCTTCTTCTTCCTCCATTTCCTGCCCTTTCTTCCCCTTTCCTTCCTTTTCATTCTTTTTTCTTTTCCTGCCGTTTCCTGCCCTTTCTTCTCTTTTCTTCCGTTTCCTTCCTTTCCTGCCTTTTCTTCCCTTTTCCTTCTTTTTCCTCCTCTTAGCTCTCCCTTCCTCCCCTTGCCTTTTCTTCCCTCCCTTTCCCTCCCTTTTCCCCTTTTTCTTCACTTTTCTTCCCCTTTCCTCCCTAAATCCCTTCCCTAAATCCACGTCCCATTGTGCGGGGGGACCGCAACTGCCAGGGGTGCGGCGGCCCCCGGAACGCTCGGCTGAGATTTCCCTTCCCTTCCCTTCCCTTCCCTTCCCTTCCCTTCCCTTCTTCTTCCATATTTTCCTGCCCTTTCTTCCCTGTTCAATCCTTTTCCTTCTTTTTCCTTCCTTTTCCTGCCTTTTCTTCCCTTTTCCTTCTCTTTCCTCCTCTTAGCTCTCCCTTCCTCCCCTTGCCTTTTCTTCCCTCCCTTTCCCTCCCTTTTCCCCTTTTTCTTCACTTTTCTTCCCCTTTCCTCCCTAAATCCCTTACCTAAATCCATTCCCAAATCCTTTCCCTAAATCCCTTCCCTAAATCCCTTCCCGGGTTCCCTGGAAGCTCCAAGGCACCGGGATTTATCCCCGGCCCATCCACAGCACCTGCAGCTTTTCCAAGGATACTCCCAAAGGATTTTCCGGCCCCCAAGAATTCTGGGAACACCGCCATCCCATCATCCCATCATCCCGCCATCCCATCATCCCATCATCCCATCATCCCATTATCCCATCATCCCATTATCCCACCATCCCATCATCCCATCATCCCATTATCCCACATGGAAGATCGACACCCACGACCAGAAGGAGCGCGTCTCCATTATCCCATCCCATTATCCCCTTATCCCATCCCACAGTCCCGGGAATTCCCACAATTCCCACATTCCTACAACATATTCCAAGTTGGAGAAACTGGCCTGGGTTCTGTTCCTGTGGAAGATCAACATCCATGACCAGAAGGAGTGCATGTCTCCATTATCCCATAATCCCACATTCCCATTATCCCATCCCACAGTCCCACTATCCCAGGAATTCTCATGTTCCCACAAATCCCACAATCCCACGTGTAATCCCAGGAGGAGAAGCTGGCCTGGACGCTGTTCCTGTGGAAGATCGACGTCCACGACCAGAAGGAGCACGTCTCCATTATCCAATCCCATTATTCCCTTATCCCCTTATCCCATTATTCCTACAACATATTCCAAGTTGGAGAAACTGGCCTGGGTTCTGTTCCTGTGGAAGATCAACATCCATGACCAGAAGGAGTGCATGTCTCCATTATCCCATAATCCCACATTCCCGTTATCCCATCCCACAGTCCCACTATCCCAGGAATTCTCGTGTTCCCACAAATCCCACAATCCCACGTGTAATCCCAGGAGGAGAAGCTGGCCCGGACGCTGTTCCTGTGGAAGATCGACGTCCACGACCAGAAGCAGCGCGTCTCCATTATCCCATCCCATCCCATAATCCCATTATCTCATTATCCCATAATCCCATTATCCTATTACCCCATAATCCCAGAAATTCCCTCATTGCCACCATCCCACAATCCCAGGTGGAGAAGCTGGCCCGGACGCTGTTCCTGTGGAAGATCGACGTCCACGACCAGAAGGAGCACGTCTCCATTATCCAATCCCATTATTCCCTTATCCCCTTATCCCATTATCCCACAATCCCATTATCCCAGCAATTCCCTCATTCCCACCATCCCACAATCCCAGGAGGAGAAGCTGGCCCGGACGCTGTTCCTGTGGGAGATCGACGTCCACAACCAGAAGCAGCGCGTCTCCATTATCCCATGATCCCATGATCCCATCCCATAATCCCATTATCTCATTATCCCATAATCCCATTATCCCATTACCCCATAATCCCAGGAATGCCTTCATTCCCACCATCCCACATAATCCCAGGAGGAGAAGCTGGCCCGGACGCTGTTCCTGTGGAAGATCGACGTCCACGACCAGAAGGAGCGCGTGTCCCCCATTATCCCATAATCCCACATTCTCATTACCCCATCTCATTATCCTATAATCCCATAATCCCACAATCCCAGGAATTCCCTCAATCCCGTGTGTGTGTGTGTAATCCCAGGAGGAGCAGCTGGCCTGGACTCTGTTCCTGTGGAAGATCGACGTCCACGACTGGAAGGAGCGCGTCTCCATTATCCAACCCCATTATCCCATTATCCCACATTCCCACAATCCCACGTTCCCACAATTCCATTATCCCAATCCCATAATCCCACATTCCCATTATCCCATCCCACAGTCCCACTATCCCAGGAATTCTCATGTTCCCACAAATCCCACAATCCCACGTGTAATCCCAGGAGGAGAAGCTGGCCTGGACGCTGTTCCTGTGGAAGATCGACGTCCATGACCACAAGGAGCGCGTCTCCATTATCCAACCGCATTATCCCACCCCAATATCCCACAGTCCCACGTTCCCACAATCCCACATTCCCAAAATCCCACAATCCCAGGAATTCCATCATTCCCCCGTGTGTGTGTGTAATCCCAGGTGGAGAAGCTGGCCTGGACGCTGTTCCTGTGGAAAATCAACATCCATGACCACAAGGACTCACAACCCCATTATCCCATCCCATGATCCCATTATCTCATGATCCCATAATCCCATTATCTCATGATCCCATAATCCCATTATCCCATTACCCCATAATCCCAGGAATGCCTTCATTCCCACCATCCCACATAATCCCAGGAGGAGAAGCTGGCCCGGACGCTGTTCCTGTGGAAGATCGACGTCCACGACCAGAAGGAGCGCGTGTCCCCCATTATCCCATAATCCCACATTCTCATTACCCCATCTCATTATCCTATAATCCCATAATCCCACAATCCCAGGAATTCCCTCAATCCCGTGTGTGTGTGTGTAATCCCAGGAGGAGCAGCTGGCCTGGACTCTGTTCCTGTGGAAGATCGACGTCCACGACTGGAAGGAGCGCGTCTCCATTATCCAACCCCATTATCCCATTATCCCACATTCCCACAATCCCACGTTCCCACAATTCCATTATCCCAAAATCCCACAATCCCAGGAATTCCCTCAATCCCCCGTGTGTGTGTGTAATCCCGGGTGGAGAAGCTGGCCCGGACGCTGTTCCTGTGGAAGATGGACGTCCACGACCGGAAGGAGCGCGTCTCCTTTATCCAGTCCCATTATCCCGCCCCAATATCCCATTATCCCACAATCCCGTTATCCCGGGAATTCCCACAATTCCCACAAATCCCACATTCCCACAACGCGTTCCCAGGTGGAGAAGCTGGCCCGGACGCTGTTCCTGTGGAAGATCGACGTCCACGACCAGAAGGAGCGCGTCTCCGAGATGCGCCGCTGGAACGAGGCCCTGGTGGCCAACATGCTGCCCGAGCACGTGGCCCGGCACTTCCTGGGCTCCAAAAAGCGGGATGAGGTCGGTATTCCCGCTTTTCCGGGCGGTATTCCCGCTTTTCCGGGCGGTATCCCCCCTTTTCCGGGCAGTATTTCCTCGTTTCCAGGCATTGTTCCCGCTTTTCCGGGCGATTCCTGAGTTTCCGGGTGGTTCCCACATTCCCGGAATCCTTTGGATGGGATCCGTGGACCTTCAATCCCATCCCATTCCCACCCCGCCATCCCCGGTGGCTCCAGCCTTTCCAGGGATTCTCTGGGAATTCCTTCCCAAATCCCTCCCCTTTTCCCAGGGAATTCTCGACATTCCCAGCTCTCCCAGCCTGGCATTGGATCCACCTCCATCCTGACTCATCTGTGGGAAGGAATTTCAGGAATCCCCTGGGAATTGGGGACTCCAGGAAGGGTCTCCCTTCCCTTTTCCATCCCCAAAATTCCAGAAGAATCCCTGGCCAATGACCAATGACCAATGACCAATGATCAATAACCGATAACAGCGCGCTCCGGGGGCGCATTCCTGGAATTCCCAGGAGCTGTACAGCCAGTCCTACGAGGAGATCGGGGTGACGTTCACATCCCTTTTCCATCCCCAAAATTCCAGAAAAATCCCTGGGGATGGATCCTGAGTGTCCTGGATCCCAGATCCCAGAATCATTTGGGATGGGCTCCATGGACCTTCAATCGCATCCCATTCCCACCCCATGATCCCAAACTTCTCCAACCTTTCCTCAGACACTCCCAGTGAACCAGAATAAACTAATAACCAATAACCCATGATCAATAACCAATGATCAATAACCAATAATCAATAACCAATAATCAATAACTGACCAGATCCCTTTGGATGGGATCCATCCCATTCCCACCGCATGGTCCCAGATTGCTCCAACCTTTCCTTGGACACTCCCAACCATCCCGAAAAAGCCAATAATCAATGATCAATGACCAATAACCAATAACCAGTGATCAATAACCAATAATCAATAACCAATAATCAATAACTGACCAGATCCCTTTGGATGGGATCCATCCCATTCCCACCACGTGGTCCCAGATTGCTCCAGCCTTTCCTTGGACACTCCCAACCATCCCGAAAAAGCCAATAACCAATAACCAATGACCAATGACCAATGACCAATGATCAATGACCAATGATCAATAACCGATAACAGCGCGCTCCGGGGGCGCATTCCTGGAATTCCCAGGAGCTGTACAGCCAGTCCTACGAGGAGATCGGGGTGACGTTCACATCCCTTTTCCATCCCCAAAATTCCAGAAAAATCCCTGGGGATGGATCCTGAGTGTCCTGGATCCCAGATCCCAGAATCATTTGGGATGGGCTCCATGGACCTTCAATCGCATCCCATTCCCACCCCATGATCCCAAACTTCTCCAACCTTTCCTCAGACACTCCCAGTGAACCAGAATAAACTAATAACCAATAACCCATGATCAATAACCAATGATCAATAACCAATAATCAATAACCAATAATCAATAACTGACCGGATCCCTTTGGATGGGATCCATCCCATTCCCACCGCATGGTCCCAGATTGCTCCAACCTTTCCTTGGACACTCCCAACCATCCCAAAAATTCCAATGACCAATGACCAATGACCAATAACCAATGATCAATAACCGATAACGGCGCGCTCCGGGGGCGCGTTCCCGGGATTCCCAGGAGCTGTACAGCCAGTCCTACGAGGAGATCGGGGTGATGTTCGCCTCGCTGCCCAACTTCGCCGACTTCTACACGGAGGAGAGCATCAACAACGGCGGCATCGAGTGCCTGCGCTTCCTCAACGAGATCATCTCCGACTTCGACGCGGTGAGCCAGCCCCCGGAATTCCGCGCGGGATCGCGGGCAACGTCCGGGTGGGAATGGTGGGGAATGCCCAGGTGGGATCATGGTGGGAATCGTGGGGAATGTCCCGGTGGGAATCATGGGGAATGTCCTGGTGGGAATCGTGGGGAATGTCCCGGTGGGAATCATGGGGAATGTCCTGGTGGGAATCGTGGGGAATGTCCCGGTGGGAATCATGGGGAATGTCCTGGTGGGAATGGTGGGGAACGTCCTGGTGGGGTCACACTGGGAATCGTGGGGAATGTCCAGGTGGGATCACGGTGGGAATTGTGGGGAATGTCCAGGTGGGGTCACAGTGGGAATTGTGGGGAATGGCCAGGTAGGGTCACAGCGGGAATTGTGGGGAATATCCAAGTGGGAATCATGGGGAATGTCCAGATGGGATCACACTGGGAATGGTGGGGAATGTCCAGGTGGGATCACACTGGGAATGGTGGGGAATGTCCAGGTGGGATCACACTGGGAATTGTGGGGAATGTCCAGCCAGGAATCATGGGGAATAAATGTCCAGGTGGGGTCATGGTGGGAATTATGGGGAATGTCCAGGTGGGGTCACACTGGGAATTATGGGGAATGTCCCGGTGGGGTCACAGTGGGAATTGTGGGGAGTGTCCAGGTGGGATCACAGTGGGAATCGGGGGGAGTGTCCAATTGGAAATCATGGGGAATAAATGTCCAGGTGGGATCATGGTGGGAAATGTGGGGAATGTCCCGGTGGGATCACACCAGGAATCATGGGGAAGGTCCAATCTGGAATCTCAGGGAATAAATGTCCAGCTGGGATCAGACTGGGAATAACTGGGAATATCCAGATGGGATGGGGAACATCCGGGTGGGGTCACACTGGGAATGGTGAGGAATGTCCAGGTGGGGTCACAGCGGGAATTGTGGGAATGTCCAAGTGGGAATCATGGGGAATGTCCAGGTGGGATCAGACTGGGAATTGTGGGGAACGTCCAGGTGGGATCACACTGGGAATTATGGGGAATGTCCAGGTGGGATCACACTGGGAATTGTGTGGAATGTCCAGGTAGGGTCACAGGGGGAATTGTGGGGAATGTCCAAGTGGGAATCGCGGGGAATGTCTGGGTGGGATCATGGTGGGAATTCTGGGGAATGTCCAGGTGGGATCCCAGCATGGATCACAGGGAATGTCCAGGTGGGATCATGGTGGGAATTGTGGGGAATGTCCTGGTGGGATGGGGAACATCCGGGTGGGGTCACACTGGGAATTGTGGGGAATGTCCAGGTTGGGGTCACAGTGGGAATTGTGGGGAATGTCCAAGTGGGAATGGTGGGGAATGTCCAGGTGGGATCACAGTGGGAATTGTGGGGAATGTCCAGGTGGGATCAGACTGGGAATTGTGGGGAATGTCCAGGTGGGGTCAGACTGGGAATTGTGGGGAATGTCCAGGTGGGATCATGGTGGGAATTATGGGGAATGTCCAGCCAGGAATCATGAAGAATAAATGTCCAGGTGGGATCACAGTGGGAAATGTGGGGAGTGTCCAGGTGGGGTCACACTGGGAATTGTGGGGAATGTCCAGGTGGGGTCACGGTGGGAATTGTGGGAATGTCCAGGTGGGATCACACTGGGATTTGTGGGGAATATCCAGGTGCGATCCCAGCATGAATCGCAGGGAATGTCCAGGTGGTATCAGACTGGAAATTGTGGGGAATGTCTAGGTGGGATCACACTGGGAATCATGGGAACATCCAGATGGGATCACACAGGGAATCACGGGAGCATCCAGGTGGGATGGGGAACATCCAGGTGGGATCCCTGGGATCCACCCGGACCTTCTCCCCTCGCTCTGGTCTGGACCCGCGGCGATCCCAGTTTCTGTTCCGGTGCCCAGCTGCTGGACGAGCCCCAGTTCCGCTGCATCACCAAGATCAAGACCATCGGCAGCACCTACATGGCCGCCTCCGGAGTGACGCCCGACGCCGGCGCCAACGGATTCGGAGCCAAGGTCAGGCCGGGATCTGGCCTTGGGACACCCCTGGGGAACTTTGGGATTGGTCCCTTCCTCCTTGTCCCCGTCCTTGTCTCCCATCTCAGTGTCCCATCTCTGTGTCCCATCCCTGTCCCATCTCCCATCTCCACATTCGTCCCATCTCCCTGTCCCATCCCTGTCCCATCCCAATGTCCCATCTCCCTGTCCCATCTCCATGCCCCATCTCCATGTCCCATCACCATGCCCTATCTCCAGGTTCCATTCCCATCTCCTATCTCCTATCTCCCATCTCCCATCTCCACATATGTCCCATCTCCCTGTCCCATCCCAACGTCCCATCTCCCATCTCCCATCTCCATGTCCCATCTCCATGTCCCATTCCCATTCCATCTCCATGTCACATGTCTGTGTCCCATCTCCATGTCCCATCTCCATGTCCAATCCCAGTGTCCCCAAATTTATTTCCCATCTCCATGTTCCATCTCCTTGTGCCATCATCTGTGTCCCATATCCCTGTCCTGTCCCAATGTCCCATTTCCATGTCCCATCCCCATCTCCATGTCCCATCATCCCCATGTCCTATCTCCGTGTCCCATCTCCGTGTCCCATCTCCGTGTCCCATCATCTCCATGTCCCATCTCCATCTCCCATCTCCATGTCCCATCATCCCCATGTCCCATCCCAACGTCCCAATGTCCCATCATCTCCATCTCCCATCTCCATGTCCCATCATCCCCATGTCCCATCCCCATGTCCCATCCCAATGTCCCAATGTCCCATCATCTCCATGTCCCATCTCCGTGTCCCATCATCCCCGTCCCATCCCAGTGTTCCCAGATCCATTTCCCGTCTCCGTGTCCCATCATCTCCATGTCCCATTCCTGTCCCATCTCCATGCCCCATCTCCAATGCCCCATCATCTCCATGTTCCATCTCCAATGTCCTATCTCCATGTCCCATTACAATGTCCCATCCCCATCTCCCATCCCCATGTCCCATGTCCCATGTCCCATCATCCCCATGTCCCATCATCCCCATGTCCCATCTCCATTTCCCATCTCTATATCCCATCTCCATGTCCAATCTCCACGTCTCATCCCCATGTCCCATCATCTTCATGTCCTATCTCCATGTCCCATCTCCAATGCCCCATCATCTCCATGTCCAATCTCTATATCCCATCTCCATGTCCCATCCCTATCTCCCATCCCCATGTCCCATCCCAACATCCCAATGTCCCATCATCTCCATGTCCCATCTCCATGTGCCATCCCAATGTCCCATCCCTGTCCCATCCCCATCTCCCATCTCCATGTCCCATCTCCATGTCCCATCTCTGTGTCCCATCTCTGTGTCCCATCATCCCCATCCCATCCCAATGTTCCCAGATCCATTTCCTGTCTCCGTGTCCTATCATCTCCATGTCCCATCATTGTGTCCCATCAACTCCATGTCCCATCTCCGTGTCCCATCATCTCCATGTCCAGTCTCCATGTCCCATCCCAATGCCCCGTCTCCAATGTCCCATTATCTCCATGTCCGTGTTCCATCATCCCCATCCCATCCCAATGTTCCCAGATCCATTTCCCGTCTCTGTGTCCTATCATCTCCATGTCCCATCATTGTGTCCCATCATCTCCATGTCCCATCCCAACATCCCCATTTCCCATCATCTCCAATGCCCCATCTCCATGTCCCATCCCCACATCCCAATGTCCCATCATCTCCATGTCCTATCCCCATGTCCCACCTCCATCCCCATGTCCCACCTCCATCCCCACGTCCCACCTCCATCCCCACGTCCCACCTCCCATCCCGCTGCCCCGTCCCCCAACTCCCGCGGCCGATTCCCGGGAATTCCGCGCAGAAGGACCCACGTCCCACGTCCCACCTCCATCCCCACGTCCCACCCCTATCCCCACGTCCCACCTCCATCCCCACGTCCCACCTCCATCCCCACCTCCCGCCTCCCATCCCGCTGCCCCGTCCCCCAACTCCCGCGGCCGATTCCCGGGAATTCCGCGCAGAAGGACCCGCGCCCGGAGAAGGAGCGCTGGCAGCACCTGGCCGACCTGGCTGACTTCGCGCTGGCCATGAAGGTGACGCTGATGAACATCAACTACCAGTCCTTCAACAACTTCATGCTGCGCATAGGCAAGTCCGGGAGGGAACGCCGGGAATCCCGGGAATTCCGGAAGGTTCCGGGCGTGATCGCCGTCCCTCCGGGCAGGGATGAACAAGGGGGCGGTGCTGGCCGGGGTCATCGGGGCGCGCAAGCCCCACTACGACATCTGGGGCAACACGGTCAACGTGGCCAGCAGGATGGAGTCCACCGGAGTCATGGGCAACATCCAGGTGGGAACGCGCAGGGAACCTTGGGAATGTCCAGGTGGGATCAGGGAGAACATCCGGGTGGGGTCACAGGGGGATAATTGGGAATATCCGGGTGGGACCGTGCAGGGAACCTTGGGAATGTCCAGGTGGGACCTCATCGGGAACATCCGGGTGGGGTCATGGGCAACATCCAGGTGGGAACGCTCAGGGAACCTTGGGAACGTCCAGGTGGGACCAGGGAGAACATCCGGGTGGGGTCATGGGCAACATCCAGGTGGGATCACACTGGGAACCTTGGGAATGTCCAGGTGGGGTCACCGGGAACATCCGGGTGGGTTCACGGGCAACATCCAGGTGGGAACGCGCAGGGAAAATTGGGAACGTCTGGGTGGGACCGTGCAGGGAACCTTGGGAATGTCCAGGTGGGACCTCACCGGGAACATCCGGGTGGGGTCACACTGGGAATCTTGGGAATGTCCAGGTGGGGTCACAGGGAACATCTGGGTGGGGTCACAGTGGGGAAAATTTGCAATAACATCCAGGTGGGATCAGACCGGGAATCTTGGGAACATCCGGGTGGGACCTCGCCAGGAATGAGCTTGGGAATATCAGGGTGGGATGGGGAACATCCAGGTGGGATCACACTGGTAGTCTTGGGAATATCCAGGTGGGACCACACAGGGAATCTTGGGAATATCCACATGGGATGGGGAACATCCAGGTGGGATCACATTGGGAATCTGGGGAATATCCAGGTGGGATCACCCACGGAATGTTTGGAATATCCAGGTGGGATATTTGGAATATCTGGGTGGGATGGGGAATATCCAATTGGGAATCACCCCAGGAATCTTGGGAACATCCAGGTGGGATCACGGGGAACATCCGGGTGGGGTCACAGTGGGGATAACTGGGAATATCCGTGTGGGATCACACCAGGAAGCTTGGGAACATCCAGGTGGGATTGGGAACATCCAGGTGGGATCATTCAAGGAACATCCAGGTGGGATCACACTGGGAATCTTGGGAATATCTGGGTGGGACCATGTCAGGAATCTTTGGAATATCCAGGTGGAATCACCTCAGGAATCTTGGGAATATCAAGGGGGGATGGGGAACATCCTGGTGGGATCACATTAGGAATCTTGGGAATATCTGGGTGGGATCATCGTGGGAATCTTGGGAATATCTGGGTGGGATCATCGTGGGAATCTTGGGAATATCTGGGTGGGAGGGGGAACATCCAGGTGGGATCATGGGGAATATCCAGGTGGGATCAGACCAGGAATCTTGGGAATATCTGGGTGGGATGGGGAACATCCAGGTGGGGTCACAGCAGGAATAATTGGGAATATCCAAGTGGGATCATGGGGAACATCCAGGTGGGACCTCGCCAGGAATGAGCTTGGGAACATCCGGGTGGGATGGGGAACATCTGAGTGCGGTCACACCAGGAATCTTGGGAATATCTGGCTGGGGTCACACCGGGAATCTTGGGAATATCCAGGTGGGATCACACTGGGGCTTCCTTGGGAATTTGGGATGCTAGGAAGGGTCTCCCTTCACTTTTCCATCCCCAAATCCCATAAAAAATCCCTCAGGATGGATCCTGAGTGTCCTCGATCCCATAATCCCAGAATTCTTGGGATGGGCTCCATGGGCCTTCAATCCCATCCCATTCCAATCTCACCATCCTGGGATTTTCCAGCCTTTCCTTGGACACTCCCAGCGATCCTCAGGGAATTCCACCCCACCCTTCCCCACCCTCCCAGGAATTTCCGCTCCTTCCTCGGGAATTTCCCCCTCCACATCCAGAACCCGCCCATTTCTCCCCAAGCTCCTCCCGCTTTTCCCACCTCCCCTTTTCCAGGGGAACATTCCCAGATTCCCGGTTTTTCCCCCCCGGCAGGTGGTGGAGGAGACGCAGCAGATCCTGAAGGAATACGGGTTCCGCTTCGTCCGCCGCGGCGCCGTCTACGTCAAGGGCAAAGGGGAGCTCCTGACGTTTTTCCTGAAGGGCCGGGAAAAACCGGGATCCTTCCCCGGATCCGCCGCCGTCCCCCTGCCCCACCAGGTGATGGAGAATTCCTGAGGATTCTTCGGGAATCCGCGCCGGGATCCGGAACCCGACCCCCTCGGCACGGCCCCTTCCCGGAGGTTTTTTGGGGTTTTTTTGGGGTGGGGGTTTTTATTCCGTGTGGAAAAGAGGGAAAGGCGGAGCCGGGTTTTTCCCGGGGTTTTCCCGCCGCGGGAATTCCGGACTCGGAGCGGTGGCGGCAATTCCAGGAGATCCAAACTCAGGGATGGTTGGGAAGACTCCGCGTCCCTTCCGCATGCCGGGAGCGGGAGCAAATCCGGGATTTTTCTGAAAATTCCTCCCGAATTCGAGAGCTCGGGTCCGGCTTGGATTTGGGGAAGGACGGGAGTTGTGTATTCCAGATCCATAAATTTTATCGGAGAAGCGATGGGTTTTTATTTGTGCCCCGCGGCCGGGATCGGAATCGGGATCGGGATCAGAATTGGGATCAAGATCAGAATTGGGATTGGGATCGGGATTGAGATCCAGATTGGGATTGGAATCCGGATCGGGATCAGAATCAGGATTGGGATTGGGATCAGGATCGGGATCAGGATCGGAATTGTGATTGGAATCAGAATTAGGATTGGGATTGAGATAGGGATTGGAATCTGGATAAGGACCGGGATTAGGATCGGGATTAAGATCATGATGAGAATTGGGATTGGGACTGGGATGGAGATGGGAATCGGGATCGGGATTGAGATTGGAAGCAGAAGCAGGATCAGAATCAGGACTGGAATTGGGAACAAGAATGGGAACAGGAACAGGATTGGAATCAGCATGGCCACCAGGATTGGGATTGGGATCAAGATCAGAGTCGAGATCAGGGTTGGGATCAGAATTTGGATCGGGATCAGGATTGGGATCAGAATTGGGATCGGGATTGGGATCAGGATTGGGATCGTGATTGGAATTGGGATCCGAATTGGGATGGGGATGAGGATCGGGATCGGGATCGGGATCAGGATGGGAATTGGGATAGAGATCAGAATCAGGATCAGAATCGGGATGGGGATTGAGATTGGAGATCGGGATCAGAATTGGGATCAAGATCAGAATTGGGATTGGGATCGGGATTGAGATCCAGATTGGGATTGGAATCCGGATTGGGATCAGAATCAGGATTGGGATTGGGATCAGGATCGGGATCAGGATCGGAATTGTGATTGGAATCAGAATTAGGATTGGGATTGAGATAGGGATTGGAATCTGGATAAGGACCGGGATTAGGATCGGGATTAAGATCATGATGAGAATTGGGATTGGGACTGGGATGGAGATGGGAATCGGGATCGGGATTGAGATTGGAAGCAGAAGCAGGATCAGAATCAGGACTGGAATTGGGAACAAGAATGGGAACAGGAACAGGATTGGAATCAGCATCGCCACCAGGATTGGGATCAAGATCAGAGTCGAGATCAGGATTGGGATCAGAATTTGGATTGGGATCAGGATTGGAACCAGAATCGGGATCGGGATCGGGATCAGGATCGGGATTGGGATTAGAATTGGGATTGGAATTGGGATCCAAATCGGGATGGGGCTGAGGATTGGGATCGGGATCAGGATTGGGATCGTGATTGGAATTGGGATCCGAATTGGGATGGGGATGAGGATCGGGATCGGGATCGGGATCAGGATGGGAATTGGGATAGAGATCAGAATCAGGATCAGAATCGGGATGGGGATTGAGATTGGAAGCAGAAGTGGAATTGTAATCAGGATCGGGATTGGGATCGGAATCGGAATTGGAATCAGGATTGGGATCCGAATCAGGATGGGTATGAGGGTTGGGATTGGGATCAGAATCAGAATCGGAATCAGGACTGGAATCGGGATCAGAATTAGGATCGGGATCAGCATCGGGATGGGGATGGGAATCGGGATCAGGATCGGGATTGGATTTGGCAGCAAGAACGGGAACGGGATTGGAATGGGGATCGGGATTGGGATTAGGATCAGGATTGGAATTGGGACTGGAATCAGGATTGGGATAGGGATTGCGATCAGGATCAGAATCAGGGTGAGGATTTGGATCGGGATCAGAATTGGGATGGGGATCGGGATCAGAAGAAGAAGCGGAATCATAATCGGGATCAGGATGGAGATGGAGATTGGAATTGGGATGGGAATCGGGATCAAGATTGGGATCGGAATCAGGATGGGGATGAGGATCAGGATGGGGATTGGGATCAGAATTGGGATCAGGATTGGAATCTGAATCGGAATCGGAATGAGAACTGGCATCGGAATTGGGATTGCGATCGGAATCGGTGGCACCGGAAATGGTGCCCATGGAATTTGGGGAGCCGGGGGCGTTCCCGGAGTTGGGATCGGCTTCCAATTCATTCCCTCATTCCAAAATTCCCACCCCCAAAACCTTTCCTGCCCATTCCCATTCCCATTCCCAATTCCCATTTTTTTCGCTGCCATCTCCCAGCGCTCTCGTGCAGATTTTTGTCAATTCTTCTGGAATTTTCCATCCAGATTTTTTTCAATTCTTCTGGAATTTTCCATCCAGATTTTTTTTTTTTATTTCTTCGGGAATTTCCCATTCCCTCCTTTACAATATTTTACACCGTCCCGCCATCCCAAGAATTCCCAACCGGGATCCATCCCAAGAGTGCCCAACCTGGGAATTCCCACCCAGAATCCCGGGATTTTCTTTCAACGAGGACGGATTGAGCGCTAAGGGGACACTACAGGGGCCGCGGATCCCGTGGGATTTCCCCGGATTTTTCCGGGATTTTTCCCGGATTTCCCCATCACTGCGCATCCTTGGAGAAGCTCTTCCCGATGGCGTTCTTGAAGAGCGTCACCAGCGGTGTCCGGATCCGCTCCGAGCTCATGAATCCCCCGTAGCGCTTCTCCTTCCGGGAATTCCACGGGAATCCCGGGAATTCTTCCTCCTCCTCCTCCTCGCCTCCCGAGGGCTCTTCCCGCCGGAATTCCAGCCGGGAATTCTCCTCCGACTCCTCCTCGGCCCCGTTGGGGTAAACCTTGACCGGCCTCCTCTTGCGCCCCACCGGTTTTCCCCACCGGAAGTGCTCCATGGAATACGAGCGCTTCCCGTCCTTCCCCGGCTCCCCGGAGTGCCGGGAAAAGCCGGGAATTCCGGGCTCGTTCCCGGATTTCTCCTCCTCCTCCTCGTCTTCCTCGCCGCGCTTGCCGGGCTCGCTGCCGTTGCGGCGGCCGAACTGGTTCCAGCGGAAGTGGCTCATGACGTAGCGCCGCAGGCTCTCGGAGAGCGGCTGCAGCTGCCCGTTCCCGGGAAAAAGGGGAGATTCCAGGGAAAGCTGGGCCCGGCACGACCCGGCGCAGGCCTGGGAGGGAGGGACAGAATTCCCAAGTTTTGGAATTGCGGGGTGGAATTCCCACTTTTTTATGATATCAGAGTTTGGAATCATTTGGGAATGGGGGATTTGGGACCATCTGGAAACAGAAAATTTGGAATTCGGGACCCTCTGGAATTTGGGAATTCCCAAATTTGGGAATTCCATGGAAAACCAAAAATTTTTGGGAGGATCCCACGTGAGGAGGGACTTGGGAATTCCCAAATTTGGGAATTCTGGGACGGAATTCCCACTTTTCCTGATACCAGGAGAAATTTAGGAATGGGGAATTTGGAGTTCTGGACCCTCTGGAATTTGGGAATTCCCAAATTTGGGAATTCTCTGGAAAAACACAAGGAACGAGAATTCTGGGAATTCCGGGAATTCCGGGAAAAAGGGGAGATTCCAAGGAAATCTGGGCCTGGCACGACCCGGCGCAGGCCTGGGATGGAGGGACAGAATTCCCAAATTTTGGAATTGCGGGGTGGAATTCCCACTTTTTCGTGATCCTGGAGTTCACGACAATTTGGGAATGGGGGATTTGGGACCATCTGGAAACAGAAAATTTGGAATTCGGGACCTTCTGGAATTTGGGAATTCCCGAATTTGGGAATTCCATGGAAAACCAAAAGTTTTTGGGAGGATCCCATGTGGGGAGGGATTTGGGAATTCCCAAATTTGGGAATTCTGGGATGGAATTTCCACCTTTTTTTTAATGATACCAGAGTTTGGAATCATTTGGGAATGGGGGATTTGGGACCATCTGGAAGCGAAAAATTTGGAATTCGGGACCCTCTGGAATTTGGGGATTCCCAAACTTGGGAAAATGCAAGGAATGGAAGTTCCGGGATGGAATTCCCACTTTTCGTGATGTTTGGAAGAGTTTGGGAATGGGGACTTGGGACCCTCTGGAAGCGGAAAATTTTTTGGTGAATCCCAAATTTGGGATTTCCCTGGAAAAATGCAAGGAATGGAAATTCCAGGATGGAATTCCACCTTTTTGTGATCCTGGAGTTCACGACAATTTGGGAATGGGGGATTTGGGACCCTCTGGAAGTGAAAAATTTGGAATTCTGGAAACACTGGAATTTGGGAATTCCCGAATTTGGGAATTCTGGGATGGAATTCCCACTTTTTTTTTATGATACCAGAGTTTGGAATCATTTGGGAATGGGGGATTTGGGACCCTCTGGAAGTGAAAAATTTGGAATTCTGGAAACACTGGAATTTGGGAATTCCCGAATTTGGGAATTCTGGGATGGAATTCCCACTTTTTTTTTATGATACCAGAGTTTGGAATCATTTGGGAATGGGGGATTTGGGACCCTCTGGAAGTGAAAAATTTGGAATTCTGGAAACACCACTTTTTTTTTATGATACCAGAGTTTGGAATCATTTGGGAATGGGGGACTTGGGACCCTCTGGAAGCGAAAAATTTGGAATTCTGGAAACTCTGGAATTTGGGAATTCCCGAATTTGGGAATTCTGGGATGGAATTCCCACTTTTTCTGATGTTGGGAATAATTTGGGAATGGGGAATTTGGAGCCCTCTGGAAGCGAAAAATTTGGAGTTCTGGACCCTCTGGAATTTGGGGATTCCCAAACTTGGGAAAATGCATGGAATGGAAATTCCGGGATGGAATTCCCACTTTTCATGATGTTTGGAAGAGTTTGGGAATGGAGGATTTGGGACCCTCTGGAAGCGGAAAATTTTGGGAGATTTTGGACTTCTGGACCCTCTGGAATTTGGGAATTCCCAAATTTGGGAATTCCCTGGAAAAACAAAAATTTTGGGAGAACCCCATGTGGGGAAGGGTTTGGGAATTCCCTAATTTGGGAATTCTAGGATGAAATTCCCACTTTTTGTGATTCCAGAGTTTGGAATGAGGGGCTTGGGATCCTCTGGAAATGGAAAATTTTGGAAGAACTTGGAATTGTGGACCCTCTGGAATTGGGGAATTCCTAAATTTGGGACTTTTTTTTTTTTATCTTTGGGATCTTTGAAATTTTATCCTGAAGAATCTCCAGGAAAATTCCCATTTTTTGGGATTTTCAGGATTTGATCCCAAGGAATCTCTGGGAAAATTCCCAAATTCCCCCATTTTTTGGCATTTAATCCTAAAAAATCCCTGGGAAAATTCCCTTTCCCACACCTCCTCCCCCATTTATGATTCCCCCAAATCCCAAAATCCTAAATTCCCAAAATCCCAAACCCCCAATCCTGAAATCCCAAACCCCAAATTCCATAAATCCCAAACCCACAAATCCCAAATCCCAAACTCCAATTCCCGCGCTCCCGGCACTGGGAATTCCCCCAAACCTCAATCCCAAATCCCAAACCCCAAATCCCAAACCCCAAACCCCCAAAATCCCAAACACCCAAACCCCAAACCCCAAACCCCAAAATCCCAAACCCCAAACCCCAACCCCAAACCCTTACCAGGATGCCGGCGTCGTTCCCGCGCTCCCGGCACTGGGAATTCTCCCAGCAGGGCCCCGAGGCCCCGCTGGGGTTCCAGAGCATCAACCCCAAAAGCGCCGCCAGAATTCCCGACCCCATCGCGGCCCCAAACTGCGGGACAAAAATTCCTGTTTTTATCTCCCCAAATTGCAAAAAAATCCCAAAAAATAAAAAAAAACCTCCCCCAAAAATTCCTTTTAAAAATCCCCAAAATTTCCCAAAAAATCCCTAAAACAAATCCCTGAAATCCCCCAAAAATTCCCACATAAAAAATCCTAAAAAATCCCTGAAAAATCCCTGAAGTCTCCCAAAAATTCCCCAAAAAATCCCTGAAAAATCCCTGAAATCCCCCAAAAATTCCCCAAAAAATCCCTGAAAAATCCCTGAAATCCCCCAAAAATTCCCCAAAAAATCGCTAAAAACCCCGTAAATAATCACCCCCAAAATCCCAAAAAAAAAAAAAAAATCACAAAGAATCCCTGAAAAATAAATCCTTAAAAAATCCAAAAAACCTCCCCAAAAATAAAAAGAATACAAAAAAAATTCCTTTAAAAAGTCCCAAAAATTTTCCCCAAATTATCCTTTAAAAATCCCCCTCCCCAACAAAAAAAATCCACCAAAAATTTCCCAAAAATCTCAAAAAAATCCCTAAAAAAAATCCCACCACAAAATCGGGAAGGAGCTGCGGGAAAATCCTAAAAAATTTGGGGGAGATGAGGAAAGGGAAATTTCGGAATTGTTAAAAAATCCTCCAAAAATCCCCCCAAATTCCCCCAAAAATCCCAATAAAATCCATTTAAAATTGCCCCAAAAATCCCCCAAAAAGAAATAAAATCCACCCAAAAATACCAAAAAACTCCCCAAAAATTCTTAGAAAATCCTAAAAATTCCTCAAAAAAATCCCACAAAAATCCAAAAAATAATCCCAAAAAAACCCCCAAAAATCCCTCCCAAAATACCCCCCAAAATTCTCCCCAAAATCCCAAAAAAAAAAAAAAAAAGAAAGAAATTTTTGAGGATTTTTTTTTGCCTTTTTGGGGAAGATTTTTGGGTTTTTTCCGGTTTTTTAAAAGAATTTATTTTTTATTTTATGGGGATTTTTTTTTTAATTTTTGGGGGTTTTTTTCCAGGATATTTTTGGGATTTTTTGTGTTTTTTAGGGATTTATTTTTTGATTTTCAAAAATTTTTTTTGGGGGGGGGGCATTTTTGTAGAATTTTTGTGGGATTTTTGGGGATTTTTTTGTATTTTTGGGGGGATTTTTTGAGATGTTTTGGGGATATTTTGTGGGATTTTTTTGTGGGATGTTTTTGGGCTATGTTGGGGATTTTTTGGGATTTTTTAGAATTTTTAAAGGATTTTTTAGGATTTCCCAAACCCACATAAAAAATCCTAAAAAATCCCCAAAATCCACCAAAAATCCTTATAAAAATCCACAAAAATCCCAAAAAATCCCCAAATATCACACAAAAATCCCTAAAGTCCTAAAAAAACCCCACCCCTCAAAATCCCCCCCAAAATCCCCCCAAAATCCAAAAAAATCCTAAAAAATCCCCAAAATCCCCCAAAAATCCTTATAAAAATCCACAAAAATCCCAAAATATCCCCAAATATCACACAAAAATCCCTAAAGTCCTAAAAAAACCCCACCCCTCAAAATCCCCCCCAAAATCCCCCCAAAATCCAAAAAAATCCTAAAAAATTTTTAAAAAAATCCTGAAAAATCCCTCCAAAAATTCCCCCATCTCCCGAAAAATCCCAATAAAATAAAAAAATCCCCCAAAAATTGTACAAAATCCCTAAATAGTCCTAAAAAATCCCCTAAAAATCCTTAAAAAAATCCCCAAAAATTCTCTCAAAAATCACACAGAAATCCCCAAAGCCCTAAAAATTGGCCCCAAAAATCCTAAAAAAAATCCCCCAAAATTCTCAAAAACCCCAAAAATTTCCCCCCCAGAAATCCCACCAAAATTAAAAAAAATCCCAAAAAATCCCCAAAAAATCCCACCAAAAATAAAAAACTATCCCACAAAAATCCCACCAAAAATCACTCAAAAATCCCCCCAAAACTCCTAAAAATACCTCAAAAAATCCCCCAAAAATCCCAAAAAATTCCCCAAAAATCCCCAAAAATAAAAAAAAAACTATCCCACAAAAATCCCATCAAAAATCCCCCCAAAAATTCTAAAAAATTCCCCCCAAAACTCCTAAAAATACCTCAAAAAATCCCCCAAAAAATTCCTAAAAAATCCCCAAAAATAAAAAAAACTATCCCACAAAAATCCCATCAAAAATCCCCCAAAAATTCCCCCCAAATTCCTTAAAAATACCCCAAAATTAGAAAAAATCCCACAATAATCCCCTAAAAGGTCCCTAAAAAGTCCCACCAAAAGTCACACAAAAATCCCTAAAAAATGCCCTAAAATTCCCCCCCAAATCCAAAAAAAATCTCAAAAATCCCTAAAAAAGTCCCTAAAAATTCCATAAAATTCCCCCCCAAAATCCTAAAAAAATCACGTAAAATTCCCCCAAAATTTCCAAAAAATTTTAAAAAAATCCCACAAAAATCCCACCAAAAAATCCTTAAAATGTCTCCAAAAATCTCCAAACAATCCCCCCAAAATGGCCCCAAAACTCCCAAAACTCCTCCCAAAAATCCCCCAAAATTCAGAAAAAATCATTCCAAAAATCCGTTTAAAAATCCCCCCCCAAATTTAAAAAATTCCCCAAAAATTCAAAAAACTCCTCAAAAATAAAAATAAAAAAAATTCCAGGAAAATCCCTTAAAAATCCCCCCAAAATCCCCCAAAAAATCCCAAAAAATCCCATTTTGCATTTTTCCATATTTTAAAATATTTATTTTTTAATTTTAAAGGATTTTTTAGGGATTTTTTTTACAATTTTTTTAATATTTAAAGGATTTTTTGAGGTTTTTTTTTTGTTTTATTTTTAAAGGATTTTAAAAATTTTGGGGGATTTTCTTGGGGTTTTTTTTAGGATTTTTAAGATTTTTAAAGCCTTCCTTGGGATTTTTTTGCTTTTTTTTCAGGATTTTTTTGCGATTTTTAAAGGATTTTTTTGGGGTCATTTCGAGATTTTTTTCTGATGTTTTTATTTTTATTTTTTAAAGCATTTTTGGGGATTTTTAAAAGGATTTTTTTTTAGGATTTTTAAAATATTTACATAATTTTTGGGATTTTAAAAAGGATTTTTGGGGGATTTTTTTGAGGATTAATTTTTTATTTTCAGGGAATTTTTTAGGATTTTTAAGGATTAAAAAAGGATTTTTTTAATTTGTTGGGGATTTTTAAAGGATTGTTTGGGGTTTTTTTAGGATTTTTGGGGGATTTTTGAAATATTTTTTAGGATTTTGTGGTGTATTTTTAAAAGATTTTTAGGGGATTTTTTGGGAGGATTAAAAAAATTTTTTAGGATTTTTTTTAAATTTTTTTAAGACTTTTTAGGGTTTTTTTGGGGATTTTTTTTTCCTAATTTTAGAAGATTTTTAGGATTTTTTGGGGATTTTTTTTGGGATTTTTGGGGGATTTTTTAGGAATTTTTTAAAATATTTTTTTAGGATTTTTAATTTTTTTTTATTTTTTAAAGATATTTTGGGGGATTTTAAAAAATTTTAGGGGTTTGGGGGGATTATTTTATTTTTAAAAGATTTTTTAGGATTTTTGGGGGATTTGTAAAAGATTTTTTGGGGTTTTTTTATTTTAAAAGTTTTTGGGGGATTTTTTTTGGATTTTTAAAATATTTTTGGGGGTTTTAAAAATATTTTTTAGCTTTTTTTGGGGATTTAAAAATATTTTTGGGGGATTAAATTTTTTTATGATTTTTGGGGGGATTTTTTTGGATTTAAAAAAATTTTTTTAAATATTTTTTTAGGATTTTTTGGTATGTTTTTGGACTTTTAAAAATGTTTTTTAGTATTTTTTTATTTTTAAAAGATTTTATTTTATTTTTTGGGGGGATCTTTTTTGAATTTTAAAAAGACGTTTTTGGGGATTTTTTGGGGGGATTGATTTTGGATTTTAATCTCATTTTTAAGGATTTTGGGGGATTTTTTTCGGTTTTTTTTAATTTTAAATATTTTTTTCTTTGTTTTTTTAATATTTAAGGGATTTTTTCGGATTTTTTTTCGTTTTTTTTTTTTAATTTTAAATATTTTCTCTTTTTTTCTTAGTATTTAAGGGATTTTTTTTGTTGTTTCTTTTTAAGGATTTTTTCGGTTTTTTTCAGTTTTTTTAAAATTTTAAATATTTTTTTCTTTTTTTTAAAGTATTTAAGGGATTTTTTTTGTTGTTTCTTTTTAAGGATTTTTTCGGTTTTTTTCAGTTTTTTTAAAATTTTAAATATTTTTTTCTTTTTTTTAAAGTATTTAAGGGATTTTTTTTGTTGTTTCTTTTTAAGGATTTTTTCGGTTTTTTTCAGTTTTTTTAAAATTTTAAATATTTTTTTCTTTTTTTTAAAGTATTTAAGGGATTTTTTTTGTTGTTTCTTTTTAAGGATTTTGGGGGATTTTTTCAGTATTTTTAAATTTTAAATATTTTTTTCTTTGGGTTTTTTTTAATATTTAAGGGATTTTTTGTTGTTTATTTTTAAGGATTTTTTCCGGTTTTTTAAAAATTTTTTTTTTAAAGTATTTAAGGGATTTTTTTTGTTGTTTCTTTTTAAGGATTTTGGGGGATTTTTTCAGTATTTTTAAATTTTAAATATTTTTTTCTTTTTTTTAAAGTATTTAAGGGATTTTTTTTGTTGTTTCTTTTTAAGGATTTTGGGGGATTTTTTCAGTATTTTTAAATTTTAAATATTTTTTTCTTTGTTTTTTTTTTTTTTTAATATTTAAGGGATTTTAAGGATTTTTCCGGTTTTTTTTTTTTAATTTTAATTTTTTTT